CGTTACTTATTCTATTAGTCCCTTTTAATGTAGCTTGTTAAATACCTTATTAACGGCCTCTTAGTCTTTAATACCTAATAGGTAATATCTAGACGTAACCTTCTAGTTCTACTATCCTTTAACTAATAGTACTAGTATCCTCTTGTTTTCTAGGATATTAATTAGACCCTTCTCTTTCTAGTATGTCGTAAATTTAGATACTAATCTCTATAGTTTCTAGGTTAGTACTAGGTTAGTATTATATATATAGATACCTTTGTCTATAGTGATTTCTATAACGTTAGTAAGCTATAATATCCTAATTATTAGACTATGATCCTAGAATGCCTTCTTTCCTTCTATAACTAGATCTAGATCTTATGTAACGTAATAGCCCTCTTCTTTAAATTTATTAAGAGTTCTTAATCGCGCCTTTTAAGGGATTGTTATCTCTCTTACTATTATGTTTATAACTGTTACAAAGTTTATATAATCTGTAATAGAATCCTAAGCGCCTAAAAGCGTTCTTATAAACATATAGCTCTTACTTACTAAGACCTTTGTATAGTAGATTAGTACCGCTATAGTTATGCCTAAAAGAACCCGGGTTTCTCTAGCTACTAGTACCTTACGAACGACCTAACTACTATAATAGTATACCTAGATTCTAATAGTAATACTCTAGTATACGCCGATTACTAGAGTCTTATAGCTATAGTTAATAACGGCCTAGTAGAGAAACAAAACCTTGTTACTAATTAGGAGCTTTAGGCTAAGCCTGTCTATAATCTACGCGCTAACTCTAATCCGTACTATAGCCGGCTTACTACTAACGGCACTATTAATGTATAGGTTAAATAATGCTTATCCCTTTAGCGGCATCTTAAAAGTAAGACCCTTAACGACAGTAGTCTACAAGTAGTCTACCTTAGCCCTTAGGTACTGTTTAATCTATTCCTAATCTACTACTAATTAGAAGTAGCCTATATTAATACACACCTAGTATTCTGTACTACTAAGTAAAAACCTGACTCTTATCGTTACGTATAAGTACCTTATAACAGAGCCTAGCCTAGCGTTAATTATTTAAGAGGTCGCCTCTATTACTCTTCTAGCCTTAGTAGTAAGGACAGGGTCTAGGTTTAATACTACGCTCTTCTTAAGTAGAGTGTAGTAATTCGAGTTAACATACTTAAACAGCTTAGTACGTAACAAGAAGGTCTAGGAACACTTTTAATATAATAGTTCTAGGGCTACTACTACTTTATTTATTATAAGTAAGGTATCGTCTTCTAGTTCTAGTAATAATAGTTAATCTTATATATCTATATTAAGAGATACTTCCTTTGTTATTATATAGCCTTAGTCTACTAACTCCTAATTATACTTAGTACTAGCTTTCTCTAGAACGTCTATAAAGTTATTAGAAAGGTTTACTACGTTATACTAGTAGAATCGCTTAAAACGCCTACTACTATACAAGCCGTACTAGTTCTAGTACTAGCCTTAGTTCTAGTACTACTCTTATTACTACTAACTATATTACTGCCTATACTAGTATTGTCCTTACTACTACTAGGTCTAGGTTTTCTTTTCTTTCTCTTTGTCTTATAATACGCTTAAGTAAGGCGGTCTAGAGTAATTGTTCTCTTCTAGCTTGTCTACTATACCTAGTAGCTACCTTAATAGTAGTAGTAGCTAGGTTCTGTCGTTAGCCTTGTCTTACTATAGGAAAGGAAAGAATAGTAGCCTAAATAGCGATAGTACAAAAGGACGTATAAATATAAGAGAATTATTCTAAAAGAAAGACTAAAAGTTATTATAAAAGGTATTACCTTATTCTTTACGGCCCTTACGTACTATCTTAGGGATCCTCTAAGACTATACTTAGAGCATATCTTATATCGTATCTTACTTTAATACTACTTCTTTTATAAACTATACAACTGTTGTAGTGTTAGTAGAGTAGTTAATAAATAGCCTAATCGCTAGGTCTAGGCTGTTATAGGCTTGTAATAGCTGTTAGACAGGTTTGTTAAACTCTACGGCCCTTATAGTCTAGATAATCTTAGTAGTAAAGGCCTAAAGGCTCTTGTTTACCTTAGCGTTACTAACTATATACTATATTACCTAGAGCTTCTAAAGCGCTAAGGCTAGAGCCTCCTTAAACCTCTTAATAAGTACGTTAGTCTATAGTTAGACTCTACCTAGTCTGTGTTTTAATCTTATACGCTATAGGTCGTCTAACTCTATAGTATACTATACTAGCGCCGCTCCTCTTAAACAGGTTACTAAGTTCTGTTAGACGACTTGTTCTTGTCCCTTAGATACGTTGTCCTTAACTACGTCTGTAAACAGGTATACGTTCCTTTAGTATATATTATTACTAATTATAATAGTATCTCTAGTCCTAATAGACTTGTTAAGCTCTAGGTTAAAGAAGCTAATATCTATTAGACGCTATTTGTTATTAATTACTTAGTCTTGCTATATAAGACCCTACTTGTTATACTAGTTGTGTTAAGGCTGGTTGTTCTATAAAGCCGCGGCTACACTTTACTTAATTATAGCTTGTATCTACCGTATAACATCTATAGTAAACGCGTTTAGCGCTACTCTAGTAGTATTACCTTTGTTATTCTTGTTTCTATTTCCTTCTATTGTCTCTTATCTTAATCTTGTTCTTAATCGTCTGTCGTTAAAAAGACTAGGGCCCCTAGATCCTAAGCCTAAGCTAGAACTAGAACCTAAGCCTAATAATAATACTATATCTCTTGTGATTTCTTTAGTACTCTCTAACGTCTAACGTTAGGACTAACGTTAGGACTAGTCGTTACGTTAACTTTCTTGTTAAATTAGTCGGTTACGTTAGGACTAGTTCCTCTCTTGTTCTACTTGTTCCTCCTTAAGGAGTTGTGCTAGTTCTTGTTCTTCTTCTTATCCTTATAAACGTAGGTCGTCTAGGATCTTAATACCCTTAGTAGTAGTACTAAAGACCTTAAGTACCTGTATTAGCTCGCTCTAGTCTATAACCTACTGTCCTAGAAAAGGAGTAGCTATAGTAGTAGCCTTTATAGATACGCTCCTTCCCTTACGTCGCGTTGTTATTGTTAATACAGCCGGGGTTAAGTTCTAAGGGTAACGGCAAGTAACGGCGTGTACGTATAGGTAGAGCTTGACTAGAATACGTCTTATAAGCGCCTAATTATGTACTAGAACCGCTTTAAATTAATGTATAAGCTATATAACTTCTAGTATAATAGCTAGCTCGTTTAATAGAGCTAACATTAGTGTTAGGGTAGGGTGGCGGGATTAGTAGGGTGGTAGGAGTGGTCTTAAGCTAGTGCCTCGAATTCGACTGATAGAGTAGTATAAACGGTATTAGTATAGGTATAGGTATAGGTATAGGTTGGCCCGGCCTTAATATTAAAGGCTCTGTCGACCGTAACAGGTATTACTACTATTTGTTACGTAATAGTATAGGTAGAAGGATGATTTTCTGTACTATCGCTAGGATATAGTAGTATTATCTACGTCTAGATGCCTTATAGCCTGGCCAGGCATCACATCCTACGGTATCCGTCCCTATTCCTTGGTATCGTTACCCTTCCCGTAACAATCAGCAAGCGGTTGTCTGCTAGCCTAATGATTTATTTCATTGCAATAAGCGATGGTAGATGAGATAAGGTAAATAAAACTAATTTATCTTTATCTCTATTCAAATCCAGACTATGCATATATGATAAGAACATCCTCCTATAGTGTTTGCAAAACCCGAGAAGTCTCGCTTTGGCGCTAACGTCCCCTATTCAGTTAAGCGAACCAATCAACATCACGCTTTCTCACTTTCGGACACTTCTAATGTGACTTCCGGAGGCCAACTGTGCTGGAATCGCTCCCCTATTCAGGAATCAAGCCAATAAGAGTCACGAGTTCTCATTTTGAGCCACTGGGAACCCTCCCTGGAGTACTTATTCAAGGCCACCAGATTCTTGAACCGAGCCTCTTAAACTCTTCCTCCCCTAATACTTCGATCTACCGAGTCCAAAGTCTTCAAAAAGGAATAAGCCACTTGACTCCAGGCATGTTAAGTTTCCTTGACTTACTCAATTAGGAATTCCTATTTCATCCTTGAACACCAAGAGACTGATGATCAGTAAGTAGATTCACTACTCACCCACCATTCGCAAGTTCGCGACTTTGACAGACAGGCCGTCTCGTCGAAACACTGTCATCCCCGTCGTTGGAGTAAGTTGTTGTTGCCCTTCACTTCGAAGATCCATATATGGCTAATAGCCTATTGCTCAATGAGAGAGATTCGTGTCCCCGCAGTTGAGTACCTAAGCATGAGCGATCGGATCTATTGAAGAGCACACCCACAGTCCACTCACTACAAGAGTACATCCATACTGACAACCACTTGTTCGTTCCAGACCACCATGGCCAATCAATCAACTCACACAACTGAACGATGCCGATGTAGAGTATGCCGTTTAAGATGCCAGCTCATGTCCTTCTTTCCGGATGGATTGCCGAAGATGGTTCATTCTCAAGTACCTTTCGATCGGTATCCGTGTGAATAGTATCGATGACTGATTCCGTGTTTTTAACGGTGAAACGAGTCCAAATCTCCGCTCCTGTAGCAGCAAGCCCGCGTTTAGAAGATGCCCTTTCCGAATTTTGTCAAAGCAAGGTGTATAAATTCTCTTGGGTGTCGGATGACATCCAGAGCAGAGCTATTGGCCATCGTTCTAAGACCTTTTTTTATATATTAGCTTGACCCTCGAGAAATTCAAAGTCTTTCTAGGGCTCGCCAACTTCTACCGGCGAATCATTACCACTCAATGAGTTAGAGTTAGCCACCGTCGTATTGTGGATACTCTTGAGGGGTCCACATATACATCTTCGGCATTGATCACATAACACCCAGAACCCGACTTCAGTAGTGTTCACGGTCTATCCGTGAGAAGTGTCACCCACCTTAGTCATGGAAGCGAAAGAAGCATGTTAATAACAGAAGAAATCAGATTGGCAATCTTTCTAGTACTACAAGTAAACTAAAAGAAGTTATTCCGAAAAGGAATGCTAGCGATACAAGAGCACAACCGATAGAATCCCTTCTATCCGTGTGCAAGATCAGATAGCCGGCCAAGAAAAAAAGAAAACCTATGTTAGCAGTCTAATCCATGAGGCCTAATTCCTCGGAGGTGGCGGCGGAGGTGGCTGATCACTTGGAGGAGGTGGCGGTGGCGCATTTCCAGGCGGTGGAGGAGGAATACTGCCAGGAGGAGGGGGTGGTGGTGGTGGACTGCCGGAAAATTGTTGCAACAGAGCACTCAACCCAGCGCCGCTCAATCCAGGAGGAGCAGCAAGACCAGGAGGAGCACCCATGCTCGCCTGAGGATAAGCAGCGCCGTATCCAGGCGCCGAGTAGGCACCATATCCACCAGGTGGGGCACCAGCGGGAGGATAGGCCGGGGGTTGCTGCCAAGGAGCTGCTGGGGGTGGTGGTGGTGGAGCGCCGTATCCATTCGGGCCTCCTGGGTAAGAATCACCGCGGTCGCCTCCACGTGCACGGTCTCTTACCCAAGGTGCAGCACCTCCAGTAGGACCGTCACGAGAGTCGAATCCATTACGATCATCTCCGCGACCACGCTGTTGCCAAGGTGCGGGAGCACCGGTAGGACCACGTTGCCATGGCTTGACGTCGTCGCCGGCAGGAGGACCCTGATCATAGCCTCCAGATGGACCAGATTCAATACGTCGAGGACCATCAGTAGAAGGTGCACCGCCGGAGAGTTCTTGCATAAGTTGCTATAATCATGTAAGCAATGTGGTCAGTTGAATGGATTGCAGGGGCCTTACCTCGTACTCTCGGTCAACTGCATCACCGGCACCAATCCGACCAGCTCCGGGACCAGGTGGTCCACCGGGTGCGTCGCGCCAGCTTGTACCACGTTGTCGGTCTGGACAATCCTTAGCCATATGGCCAGCATTGCCACAGACACGGCAAATGATATTGGCAGTGAAATTTCGTTGTTCCGGGCAGTCGTACTTGCGATGTCCAATTTGACCGCAGTTCTGGCACGCCTGGTTCTCGTCATCGCGGAGAGTACCGTTGAGGGCAGCGAGTTCACGTAGTTGGTTGCGCTTGAGCTCGTTCTGGCCTTCGGGGATAGATGCAGCCTATTCGGAATTAGAAATAGCCAAATGAGGATTTGATGGGGCCAACTTACGGTCTCAATGATGTTGTGAATCAGCTTCTTTGCCTTATTAACCTTCTCCTCGGTGTCTGCCATGATTAAGCAATGAAGATCTTCTTCCTGGTTGCTGGTGTGAGCTGCATCGGATCGGCCTTTTCCTTCCTTGACGGATCCTTTTCCACGAATGGCAATTTTTGCTCCCGATTCAGTTTCCATTTTCTTCAAGGTGTTGCCACGAGGACCGATAAGCAAGCCAACTTTAGTAGAGCGCAAGCTAAGTGTTAGTATAATGATCAAAAGCTGAGAGCAAAGCGTAGTGAGCATAACAGGTTAGTGATGACAATACGCCGTATTCTAGATACAGCGAAACGTCACACGGTAATGAAATTAGGGATGGGAGTAGAGGTTAGAAATGTTAGAGGGTTAGCAATCATACTGAAGTTAATCTCTGGATAGTCATTGACCGGCACGTAAACTTTCTCCTGTGTCTTAGTGGGACGGCGATAGTCCTGTGGAGGGTGATAGTTAGGAATAACTTTCATAGCCTTCTCAATCAATTTGTGGCGCTCGTCTTCAAGACGCTTCCGGTAGCGGTATTCTCGCGTATTGACACGGCGACCAAAGTTATCGTACTGTGGCGGTGGGGATGGCGACCTGCTAATATTAGAGCGTGAAGCAGTGGCGCTGGGTGGGGTCGAACGTACCTATCTCCATCTGCAGGGACAACATCGTCGATCTTGAGCTTCTGGCTGATCTCTTCAATGCGCAAATGCAAAGTATAAGCCTCAAGCTGCTCGCTAGTCATGTTGGCCATGATGGCAGTTGGAAGTCCCATGAGACCCGCAGCCTTGTTCTCTGTCGCATCACCCCACCGATTTCTCTTCTTGCGACGTCTGGTTCCATCGACAGAAGGTTCCTCGGCTGTAGCGCAATGAGTATGCTGATGGATCTGGGACATACAAGGGTACTCACATCTTACTGGGCTGCGACCACGTTTGTAAGGACCGTCAGGGAATCCATTGGCGGGCTTGGTCGGATTGTAGCTACTGTCATCATGCTGAGTTGCGCTGTCGCCGCCGCCGAATCTGCGTCGGTTTCCCAAAGGGATGTTATTCGATCCGGTGCTTCCTTGTTGTCTCCACGCCATCGTGAAAGGTGGTGTTGATGTTTGTGACGAAAAAGGATGATGGTTTGAAGTCGTCAGAATATAGATCTCGAAATCTTTCTTAGCGCGTTCGGCCGAGGCGAGAGATCTTCGCTTGTGCAGGTGGGCGTTAGTTACATTACGTAATCATGATAGTCAGTCACGTGGCCACCACGCCGCAGCCCCGTCTCTTTCTCCGCATGATGTTTGACGGGACCATTTGCCTTGATAGACAACCGACCTAATGTTGTAATTCGGCAACAGTGTTACCAACCACATCATAAAGAAGCCATGAATGGTGTATCTCCCGTGTGCCCTAAGATATCTTACCTTATCCCAGACTCTGATATGTCAGCCCCCCCTCACTGCCCGATTACAAAGCATCGGCAGCTACCTATGGCACCATCCCCCGCCGTCAGTGGAGTAGGACTGCAGGAGCTGGAAAGTACAAAAGCTGTACCAGAATTAATAATAATACAACAATCTTCCCCTCAATCCTCTGAACTCCATCTCCACTGTCTATGACCGCCCGTCTCCACCAACTAGCAAGACACATCAAAATGGCTGCCCGTCCAGATATCCACCTCTACACGACCCAGACTCCCAACGGGATCAAGATCTCCATCACGCTCGAGGAGCTCGGCTTGCCCTACAAGGTCACCAAGATTGATATCTCCAAGAACACCCAGAAGGAGCCATGGTTCCTTGAGATCAACCCCAATGGCCGCATTCCAGCTTTGACCGATACCTTCAGCGATGGCAAGACCATCCGGCTTTTCGAGTCCGGCAGCATCCAGCAGTATCTTGTCGACCAGTACGACAAAGACTACAAGATTTCCTACCCAAGGGGAACGAGGGAGTACTATGAGATGAACAACTGGGTTGGTTGAATTCCAATCAAGCTTCTGTCTATTCAGTGGAGGGAACTTGAAATTCTATGAATCTGGACCCGACTGACATCTTCCCAAGCTCTTCTTCCTCAACGCAGGCGTGGGACCAATGCAAGGTCAGGCCAACCACTTCGGCCGTTACGCTCCCGAGCACATCGAATACGGAGTCAAGCGCTACGTCAACGAGACGCGTCGCCTGTACGGAGTCCTGAACGCGCACCTCGAGAAATCAACATCCGGATACCTCGTTGGGGACAAGTGCACCATTGCCGACATCGCGCACTGGGGCTGGGTGACATCTGCCTTCTGGGCCGGCGTCGACATTAATGAGTTCCCGGCCTTGAAGGCTTGGGATGAGAGAATGCTTGCGCGACCAGGCGTCGAGAAGGGAAGACATGTGCCGGACCCGCACCGCATGAAGGAGTTGCAGAACGACCCGGCCAAGATTAAGGAGCATGCTGAGGCGTCCAAGCAATGGGTGCAAGCGGGAATGGCAGCTGATGCAAAGAAATGAGCGATGATACTGGAGTGAACTTATGCTTATGATATCAAGAGCTAAACGCTAATAGCAATGACATGAATGTTGTTCTGTCCCCTTGACATGAGAGACTCTAAATCCCTACCGGTAGGTTAAACGCTCAATCTCAGGTCATGCAACTACAAGTGGCCAAGAATACATTTCAGGCCTCATTCTCACGAAGACAAGTGACTATCTCTAGACTACTCTACTCATCAAGTGATGTCAAGAATCAAATCAAATCCCCCAATTTGCAAAAATCCAAAAAATATTAAAACAAAACTTCCATTATACATATTCTCACCCCTTCCCATCACTGCATGCGGTCTAAAACCCCGGCCTTCTGGACCTGGGCACCTTGTGAGGCCAATTTTCGCAGAAGTTTTCGGCCTCCTTTCTCAGTTGCTCCAACTCATTATTGAGACGCTTACGCTTTCGTGGGTTGTTTTTCGGCGGAGGCGGGGGCGGTGGTGCTGGTGCTGGCGGTGCTCCTCTATCATTGCCATCATCGCCTGCATCATCATTACCGCCAGGTGGTGGTGGTGGTGGTGGTGGAGGTAGTGGTGGCTGTTGCTTCTTCCCGCTTCCTCTATTATTGCCATCATCGCCCGCATCGTCATTACCGCCAGGTGGTGGTGGTGGCTGTGGCTTGTTCCCGCTTCCTCTATCATCGCCATCATCGCCCGCATCATCATTACCGCCAGGAGGAGGAGGAGGAGGTGGTGGTGGTGGAGGTGGCTTGCCCCCGCCTCTTCCATCATCACCATCATCGCCATCATCGCCATCATCACCCGCATCGTCATTGCCACCAGGTGGTGGTGGTGGAGGTGGCTTATCCCCGCCTCCTCCATCATCGCCATCATCGGCAGCTCCTTGTCCTTGTAAGCCTAAGAACGCAGATCAGCACCCCTCAACCACTACGCAAGGGGGGAAAAGGGGAACATACGATCCGCAAATTTCGTCTCCAACTCCTTAACTTTCATCTCCAACTCTTTCACTCTCGCCTCCAACCCCTTAACACTCACCTTCCCATCCTCCACATCCCGTCTCAGACCCTTGATCCCATCCTCGCCGACGGATTGCGAAAGGTAGGCGTCTCGGTTTTCAGCATCTCGGAGACGGTTCTGCAGCTCGGTGTACGATGGGACCTGTGCTGCGAGTTGATCTTGGGCGGCGCGCAGCTGGCGGGCGATTTCTGCGTCGTTCGGGTCTTGATCCTTGACATTTTGAGACTGAGGAAGTGGTTGAGGAACGAGCTGCATCTTATTCGTTCTAATTTGCTCCTCTAGTATGGCTATCCTTCCTTTATGGTCCTCCTCTGCGCAAACTCGGGCGAGCTTCTCCGCTTCTGTGAGATTTTGTTTAAGTGTTGCGTGATCTTCTTTGAGTTGAGAAATAGTTTGATCGCGTTGTCGCTGCCCGAAGTCTATTATACTCTCATTTGATGCGCGCTGAGCTTCCAAATATTCCTGGAGGTACTTGCCAGTACTATTGGATTCTTCTGTCGACGGCCTGCCATCTTGTTTTTCCAGTTGTTCCAAACGGTCACGGAGATTTTTGAGTACAGTTGTACTAGCATTCCTTTCTTTCAAGCTTAGTGTTGTCTGCTTCTCCAGCTCCTTCTCGAAATTTCTGGCCTTACTCTCTTCGGAGCTGAGCTGAGCTTTTAGATCCTTCTCAAGACGGTCTCTCGCATTCGCAGATCTCTTAATGGTATCGTTCAACTCCCAAATTTCTTCCTCATCCGCCTCTTTCTCGGTCACAACCTCGATGGGTTCATCCTGAAACCTAACAGTCTTCGTTCTCGCCGTGGCTTGCTTTGCCTCAGACAGCTCCCCATCCTTTTCCAAAGGAGTTTCCTTCAGATGACTGACGGTTGGCTCGCCGATCGTCCGGATAGTAGAACTAGCTCTCTTGACGATGGCTTGAACCGCATCACTGAAATTGTCAATGAGTTTATTGATGCCCAAGAAATTGCCTGTCTGCTGCAAGCGATTCGCCTTTCCATAATCACTGACTTCGCTCTGCGTTTCCGGCATCTCCGGCTCCATGGAAACCGGAATGAGCTCCTCCAGTCCCTGGAGTTTCCGAGTAGCTTCCTCGACAGCAGCACAGACGGAGGCAGTGACTGTGTGCATTGGATCTTTGGCATCGGCTGACTGAAGTTCATCGCTAGACCTAGCTTCTATCAGGCAGAGATGCTGCTCTGCTTGATCGCGTTCATCGCGAAACGTGTGGGCGAGGTTTGTGAAGAAGGCAGTTCGCCGTTTATGGTAATCAACTTGTTCATTGATTGCGTTTCTCAAAGCTTCAGGGTTCAGGGGGGTTCGCTCAAGTAAATACTGAACATTCCAGGCTAGACTTGCTTCCGTGTTGGTTTCTGCACCTGGAGGAGCATTTCCCTGTGATCTCACCTGGGCCTCGCGCTCCTCGGCCTTTTTCCTAGCCTTCGTTTGTGCATCTAGCTTGGCCTCCAGTCGGCTTATCGTATCTTCTGCAGATTTTAATGACTGCTCCAACTCGTTCCGGTCCTTAACAGGTTCTCCCGATTTAGTTGACATGGCTGCACGTCTGGCTTGTTCAGCAGCCTCTTCAGGAAACTTTTCGAGCTTTTTGTCGTCCGAGGAGTGGAAATCGACCAAAAAGGTCAAGAACGAGAGATATCATGCGACAATAAAAATATAATGAAGACGGAGTACAAAAAGTAGCTAAGCGGTTTGTTTAAGATGTAAAAGGGGTGTCGCGTGTGGGGATAGGGAGGCATCATACTTATGATTCCTTTGGTCTTTATCAATCCCTACGATTTGATCTCAGGGCAGTTGATGCATTTACGCTTGCGGGAGAAAACCCTTCCAAATGCAGAGATACATATGTGGTCGACCCTTTGTTGGAATGAGTTTTCCTCGACATTGTAACTCCTCTTCCGGGCATTCAACACCTTTGGATTTCTTGCTCAAAGGAAGGAGTCTTGCTTTGGATAACACAATGTGCAATGTTTCCAAATGCATAAGATTCCCTTGTATAGGCTCTGGAAAAAAATTTGTAGCACTTAAGGCACCAGGTATCGTTGAATTTAACAACGACAGTGCGACACTCTAGACTGAACGGCATTGGCAGGCCGTAGATAGCCCATCAACCGCTTGGCACCAGGTAGGCCGCAGCCTGCAGGTGCAAAGGGTCATGGGTATCTGAATCTTTGCACCAGATACCCTTCAAAACAGCAATGCAACATTCGAAATGTCGGACCCCGAATGGACGGGGCTGAGGACAAAGGAGGTAGGTCATGAATACCTAACATGGAATGTACGCGTTCGACATTCACTCGAACAAAGAAATTCGATCTCCTTTCTTAAGCGAGCTTCAGCGACTGCTTAAGCGACAATAGCGGAGTATAAGGAGTCGTCCTGGAATGCTTCTAGGCTATCTCAACGATGAACCCAAAGAAATGGATATCAGTGGATTATCCGAGGCTTGGATTCAATCAAGGGAAGTCAAGGAACCTGGTGGGTGTCTTGATTACGATCCACGAATTTACGGTCGTCGCGAATATGAACTATCGTTACGAATATGAAATCTCGTTGCGAAACTGCACTTTCGTTGTCAAGTACACCCGATTCTGCCTAAACATTCACTGATTCGAAATCAGCGCAGCAGTCAAAAGATGTATGACATAGACTTACTGGGAATGCCTGCTCCCTACGAAGCGGTTGTGTTGTACTTGACATCTGGCTAGGGAGTCTGAGCTTAATTTGTAGTTGAAGATATGTCTTAGACTAGGATTTCGATACTCGGGGTCGTAGAACTTAGAGTTGTAAGGAGAGATGTAGTCTTAAAGCTAAATGTTGAGTGAAACTTAGAGGGATGTTCTGGTTAGATGGTTTAGGTTGTACTACTAAAGAGGATTGAAGGAATCCCAGCACACCAGTCAGCGAGGGAATCCGCCAAGTACGGGGATCCAAAAAGAGTAATAGACGATGGAGGTCTACACGCGACCGGCACTGTGCTTGATGCCAATAATTACGTATACAGTAGAGTAGTTAGAGTCTTAGAAAGATGCATACCTCTGCATTCTTCTCGAATATTGGGGAAGATAAGCATTAAACTAGGTGTTCTCTAAAATCTATAGTCAGATTAAAGTACTTAGAAAACGCGTTCACGAAAATATATTTTCGAAAATACCGAATCTTCTCATATATATTAGCTGTTCAGTTCTCTGCCTACCTACCTAAGGTTTAGAGCAATGCTTTGATTAAAGTTCTCTAGCTGCTATATAAATGTTTCTAATATGGTACGTTATTTGTATACCTTGACAAACCAACATACTAAGCCAGAAAGTAAGGTAGGTACCTCCCTTACCTTCTCTCTCTCCCTTCTCCTATTTTTCTGAACCCTAGGCAGAACGATAGAAGACGAGGACGTGAACCAAAAGAAACGAATAGTGAAAGCTATATCTATGTAATGACAATTCATGAGAATTTTTGTTACAAAAGAGAATTCTTACAAAATCAATATTCGCGCAGGATTCTCGTTACGAAATAGATATTTTCGTACAATTGTCGTTACGAGATAAATATTCTTGCTGCGAAACTTGTATATATTCACTTAAATTGCCTGGGACACTTTAAGTTTCTCGTTCAGGTCCATGCCCTTTGATCTTGTCATATACACAAAGTAAAGGATCATCCAGGCTCCTTGAGAATCACGTTTTTGACGACCTTCCCTGTCGTTGTATTATTATGTGTTTTGTGGTTTTATAGTGGTATATGATTATATCCTACCTATTTCGACAAGGCTGCTCGGCTTTTCACAAGCATCCTATTTAATAACCTGGGGTAAACGAGACCACTGCCGCGACGTCTAACCTCGGTGATAGCCTCATCTCTAATAATAATCCTGCTCGTCCTAATAACCCTGCTCGTCCTAATAATTATAACACTATGCCCACGTCCTACCAGCGATCTAGCCCACCGGCTCCTACCCCACCAACCATTATCCTTCTCTTCCCCTGTCTTAACGCCTCTCCACGAAACATCTCCAAATACGTATCCGGCTCCATCACCCTCTATCCAAGCTCCTACATCCTCATCATCCCAACCAGCACGCTCTCCCTGCTCCCCTTCCGGCACTCCCGGATCCTCCCCGCTATCTTTCTCCTCCTCCCTCCTACCTCCACATGCCTAATCACAGGGAAACCGCTGCCCGCGAACGCCTTAGTCTTAGATTCATGTCCTGGACCAGACTCCTCCGGTAGACACCGAGCTGGAACAGCATCAGGAAGAGCCAAAGATTTCGAGGTCAGTAGTCAGACCTTTGAAAGGGCTGATAGATAAGTGTTTATCTTACGCCACTTAAAAGGAAACTGTCACTTGTATCCAATGCCCCTTGGCCTGTGCAAAGCTGTACATGATTCGAGTTTCCCGTCCAATGATTCAGATTCCCTGTTCAATGATTCAATTTCCTGTCCACGTAGGAGTCAAATCCGCATTATCTTCAGCGACACTGACAGGACTTAAGGTCAGTTATGGGACTTAAGGTCAGTTATGGGACTTAAGATCAGTTATGGGACTTAAGGTCAGTTATCTCCAGTAATCCCGCCTTCATACATGATGAGTTGCGGACCGTCTCGACTTGCATCAGTGACGTCGATGTTACGAAGTACCTAGTGTAGAAGGGTCTCCAGCCGAAGAATTAAGGCACGGCCAAAAGGAACGAGGTCTTGGGCCCATATCATTAGCCGAAACCTTCCAGTTCAAAGATTTGGTGGCAACTAGTTATCGGCGACAAGATCCTCAGGAGTTTTACAAGGCGATCGATGCTAACTAATGCAGGTGGTAACGCTTCTTCGGATTTAAGCCGAAACCCCAGTCTTTTCGGAGGGACCTTGCATGATCGCATCCCTTTGATGACTTGACATATCGGGTATATAAAAGGCTTTCACGATGTTCTCGAAAACCACGATTCCGCAGTCTCGCACGAAGAGATTCTTAAAGAGGTTCTCGTCAACTCAATAAGCCAAAATCATTTTAATCATTTCATCATCTTATCATTCAATCATGACGTCCAAGTACGCTGCAGCCCACGAATCCCCAAACGGCCCCGGCGATGCCCGTCCCACGGCCCTGCAAATCATCAAAGATGAACAGCTAGAGGGAGGACTGGCGGGCAAGGTCATACTCATCACCGGCTGCTCCTCAGGGATCGGCATTGAAACGGCTCGCGCTCTTTGGCACACGGGGGCCACGCTGTATCTCACGGCACGTGATCTCAAGAAAGCAAAGACGGCGCTGGGGGATCTTGTGGAGCAACCTCGAGTCCACCTCTTGCAACTGGATCTGAACTCCCTTGCGACTGTGCGCGCCTGCGCCGCGGAGTTCCAGTCCAAGAGCAAGACTCTGAATATTCTGATTGCCAACGCCGGAGTGATGGCGTGCCCGGAGGGACGAACGGCGGACGGCTTCGAGACGCAATTCGGGACTAACCACCTCGCACATTTCCTCCTATTCAGTCTGCTGAAGCCCGTGTTACTAGCGTCATCTACACCAGAATTCAACTCTCGTGTCATCATTGTGTCTTCCAGCGCGCATCGCTACACCAAAGTCCACTTTGACAACATCAACTTGGACGGCGAGTACGAGCCCTGGACGGCGTATGGCCAGAGCAAGATCGCCAACCTATGGACCGCCAACGAGATCGACCGACGCTACGGCTCCCGAGGTCTTCACGCCTACAGCTTGCACCCAGGCGGCATCGCCACTGGGCTGATGCAGCACGTATCCGGGGACGAGCTCGCGCAGTGGGCCAAGAACGAAGTCCTGGCGAAATACTGGAAGAGCCCCGAGCAGGGCGCGGCGACGACGGTGTGGGCTGCCGTCGCGAAGGAGTTGGAGGGCAAGGGAGGCAAGTTCTTAGATGATTGCCAGGTTGCGAAGCCGCACGATCCGAAATCTGGACAGTTCGGTCCGGGATATGCGGATTGGGCTTATGATCCTGAGAATGAGGCTAAGCTGTGGACCAAGTCTTTGGAATTGCTAGGTCTGAAGGATGAGTGAATCATTCGATCAAGGATACAGTGTATCCAGATATCTGTGGATTATAGGTAAATCTACCTACCTTGACGGGAAACCGAACATTTCAGCCATTATATAAATGTACCTTATAGACTCAAGCATAAATCTAGAAACTGTTAAATATCACAGCCAGACTTGAAAAGAGGATATCTGCGGATAAGGAAGAGGAAGAGCGTAATGATGGCCTGTAGGTAGGTAAATCATTCATGCCAATACACGTACGTATACATACATACATACATACATTACACTTACACTCACCAACCCCCTCTCTCTCACAATCCGAACAACACAGGCTTCAAGTCTCTTTCTTCTCTACTCATACAATTCCATATCACTGTAGCATCTACTAGTACAAGCACCTCCTCAATTCGAGGTGAAAATAGCAACGCACGCTTATGCTGTCCGTCTCTCTCTGTCATATATGCCCGGGTCCCGCAGAAACCAAACTCCGTCCCATCTGTGGATATCCATCCTTATGCTGATGCCCATGTGTATGCAAAGAAGATGTGTGAAAGAGGCATACACACGAATAAAAATAATCAGAAAAGAGGAGGAAGGCAAGGCTTCCTTCAGCTTCCCGATCCACTAACGGGTGGATTTCGGGACAAGAGATGGAAGCATTATTTATTTCATCGTCTTCAGGAAGCCGTCGAGGTCGAAACTCTCCTCGTACTGCCGGTCGTCCCACAGCTCGCCGAGGTCGTCGAGCCAGCCTTTCTTGCCCTTCTCGCGCACCTCGCCCGTCGCGTCCACCATGTCCTCTTCGCGGCCCTCCTCGGCACCGTTCAGCGACGGCTTGTCGATACCTTCCGCTGTATCGCCCAGATTGAAGAGGTCCAGAATCTGGTCCGTTTCCATGGTGCCCAGGCCAGCGTTTTGTTGATTTACAACTGTTGAAGCTACGTCGATTTTGAATCGTTGGAGCCTGTTGGGGAATGGGTTAGCAGGGTGAACAGATACAAAAGTGGGGAGGGGATGAGGGAGACATACGACATGATCTTCTCCTCCAACGTCCCCCGCGTGATCAACCGGTAGACGTTAACAACCTTCTTCTGCCCAATTCTGTGGGCGCGATCCATAGCTTGTAGATCCTTCTGCGGGTTCCAATCATGCTCCACGAAGATAACGGTATCTGCACCAGTCAAGTTGAGACCTAAACCTCCGACGGATGTTGTGAGGAGTAGAACATCATAAGAGGGGTCGGAGTTGAATTTGTTAACGATCTCTTGGCGCCTGGAGGCATCGACTGAACCATCCATACGGAGATATTGTACCGAGGGGAGCATCTTCTTGAGAACGTCGTTCTGGACCATGTCCAACATTTCTTTCATCTGGCAGAAGACTAGTGCGCGATGGGGCGAGACGTAGGATGTTTCTGTTGTCACTTCTTCGGAGGAAGTATCAACGCCAATTCCGCAATCTACAAGCAGATCCCGCAAAGCCGTAAGTTTCGGAGCGTGGATGGGATCGCGAAGACTGGTGCCTTGTCTTGCGAGGAAACGTTGAGTCTCCTCGTACTGCTTATGGCCTTCCTTCATGACCAGTGCTGGGGAATTGCAGAGTTTGCGCATATATTGCAAAGCTTGGAAAATATGCTGCTTTCCTTCCTTGTCACCAGCAGCAGCTTTCTCGGCGATCGTCTTGCCCTCTTTCTTAGTGAAGTCTTCGAACAGCTTCTTCTGAAGATCGCTGAGATCACAGTAGTAGTTCTGCAGGATCTTAGGGGGTAGATCATCCAGAACCTCTTCCTTGAGACGACGTAGTAGGAATGGTAGGACTTGCTTATGCAATGCTTCGATGGCAAGGGCACCGGCCTCCTGCTCCTTGGATGACGATTTACTGAAGCGGCTGGCGGCAATGGGTTTGGCGAAGCGGTCGAGGAATACCTTCTCCGTACCAAGAAAGCCGGGCATCAGGAAATCGAACAGGGACCAAAGTTCCAAGACGTTATTTTGAATCGGCGTACCCGAAAGAATGAGGCGATGATTGCTGTGGAGCTGTTTCACAGCAATGGTGACCTTTGCTCGCGGATTCTTGATCAAATGACCCTCATCAAGAACAAGATAATTCCAGTTCAGTGGGGTAAGAACATCAGAATCGTTTCGACAGATATCATATGATGTGATAACGATGTCAGTCTTGGATAGTTGATCCCGCAAGCGTTGTCGGTCAGCTGGAGGTCCAACGTATGCAGTGCAGGTGAGGAATGGCGCATATGTGTTGATTTCCTGCTGCCAATGACCAGAGAGCGTAGGAGGGCAGATGATTAGAGATGGCAAGCGTCGTACATCTGGCGCTCCAGTCTTAGCGAACTCTTCAGCCCGCATGTGATGATCACTAGCCACAATACACAGTGTCTGCAAGGTTTTTCCGAGACCCATATCGTCGCAAAGGATGCCGTGAAGGTGATACTTGTTCAAGAAATGGAGCCAGTTAACACCCTCTTGCTGATAAGATCGAAGCTCCGCCTTGATTGCAACGGGAATTGTGAATGGTTCGACCTTGTGGGGATCCAGTAATTGAGAGATGAAAGTTCGTTCTCGATCACGTCCCTTCAGGAGTTCTTGAGACAATCCAGGAGGGTCGGGAATACCCGCCTCAAGTGGAACAAGCTTGACAAGGGTGGCAAAGGTGGTTGTCGCGATAAGTCGGACATCATTGTCCGAGTCACTCATACGACCAAGAACAGGCACGATGAGGAAGATCACATATGGTAAGATGTTGTCTCCCATCACGTGAATGAGATGGTAGACTACCTCGATTGCACCTTGGCGGAAATTGAGATCGACTGGGTTGCTGATCGATGGTAACACCTTCTCGACCAGCATTGTCATACCTTCCACAGTTATAACGCTGCAGATTGTAGCAAGGCATTTGGCGGCCATATATCGGAAGACTGAGAGCTCTGAATGTAATGATTTGATAACCAAGGGGGCCAACTGCATAACAAAAGAATGTAATTCCTTGTCCAGAGTCGGCGTCAAGGCTCGAAGTACAGACATGGCATCGATCGCTGCTTGGCCTGCCTCCTGTGCTGGATCCTTCGTATCTGCTGGAAGATCTCCAGCGAAGGCATGTTGCAAGGGATCCTCCATGATAGACCTGAGCGTTGGGACTTTCTGGAGGAGTTGGGCACCAAAGATACTTGACAACTGCTCCAACGCCTCTTTCGCACCTCTTCGGATAATTCGAGCCTCCTTTGCTTCTCTGGCAAACTTAGCAGCATCTGGATGATCTCTTCGGTCCTCCTCCTTTCGAAGGGATAGAATATTATTTGTGAAGTTTGCATTCGGTGTGAATTCGGGGGTCTCTGATGTATCAATGCAACTGAACTTGGCCAGGTTGGAGACGACTTTCTGAGCCGGTCCGGATCGACCGCCTTCCGCAAAGAGCTCAACAAGTCTCGCTACAGAAGCAGCCGAGCGCTGCTGGAGCTCAACATTCTCTTCCTTCTTGACACTATCCATCATTCCCTTGATGATATGCGTCGGCTTCTTTGGCGAGACCTTCATCGCAACCAAGGCGCTCGCAGCAGCAGCTCTGATGCGGATATCCCGCTGCTCTTTGATGCTCTTGGCATTGTCAATGACTTCCATAACGCTATTACGAGCTTCAGCCAACGCTTGGGTAGCAATTAATCGCTGACCAGGAGCAAGGGCTTTCTTCAGTCTATCAAAATCCTCATTTACGCACTTCTCAGCAGTCAGCATCGAGAAGGCGTCTGGTCCAGCTTCTGCCTCGCCTTGGACTACTACAGCGAGTGTTGGCAGTCGACTTTGTGATACCCTACCAACATCACGGAAGGTGTTGATCAATTGCGCACATTGGGCACGAACAAGCTGTGTGTAGCTTACAAGATCGCGATAATGCAAAGGCCGATCGGTCTCGATGATCTTCTGGAGCGGGTCGATAAATCGTGATGCCTGATCTTTCTCGACACAATTCTTTGCGTATTCATCGATAATGAGAACTGCTGTGAGTTGGGTAGACGCGAATGCAGAAGTCATGCCAGGGATAATGCTCGCATCGTAGGCTTCAATCACGTTGGAGGGCACGAGAGACATAATAAGACCCATTGCCTTGGCCGCCGATATACGAGATCGTATAAGGATATCCATGCCAACCAAGTCAACATCCCCTTGCATCATGTGGCCATCAACATCATGAGATGAAGTTGTGGGAGCCGGCTCAACAGCCTTCGTCGACTTTCTTCGCTTCTTTGCAGGGGGCTCGGTAGCCGACGGGGATACTGGTCTCGGAGGAGCTGCCGGGACGAAACCGCTTGGCATAGCGTAAGTACTGCCAGACGGCTTTTGGAAAAGGCTCGCATTCATAGGCAATGGATGCCGGGAGACACCAATAGGGTGAAGGGTTAATTGCATGAGGGGATCGACGTGTGCGGAGAATTGCTCGGCGAGGTCGTCGGGGTTCTTTGCTAGGAATTTCACCAAAGCTGCCCAGACTTGTAGTGAAAGGTTCAGTGTGTCTTGATTTCGTTCAACCAAGATATTTTGGAAGATGAGGCGTAGGATCTTGCCATTCAGCCAATCTCGAGTGCCTTCGCCTTCGATATTGACGAAGGTCAACAAAGCTCGAAGGACCGCTGAGCGCACTGAAGTGATAGTATGACGGAGGAAGGGATATAATCTGGGAACCAACAGGGCAAATGACTGCTCCGGATCTGCTGCTGCATTCTTCTTCATTGCCTCCAAAACCTCAGGGAAACTACAGAGCTTGGCGAGGAGGTCCATGATCTGTCCAGTACTAGCGCTCAGGTCATCACCCAGATTGGAAAGACATTCCCAGACGATGTTGATAAGACCATTCAGGGCTTCCGGTCGCAAGTTGACGAATTCCTTCGCAATGGGGATAAGAGTCGCAGCACTGACTGAGCGTACATCATCATCCAAGTCGCCGAGGCCTTTCATAACAGCCGCAATGACTCCATCAATCATGTCGTTGTCTTTTAACAGAAGATCGTTTCGCACCGCGACCAAGTAACGTAGCCCAATCATACCGCCATGGCAGACAGACCACGCAGGTTTGCTGATCCCGAGGTCTTCTTGCATCACCAGTCGATAGAGTATACGGTGGACAGCGTATACAGAAGCAGCGGGGAGGTGGATAAGCAAGGCGCCAAGCGTTTGTCCGACCGTCTCTCGGATGGGGGCCACGACGGTATCGGATACGTAATCCCCAAACTTATCCAGCATGAAGACGCAGCATAACCGACAAGCAAGGTCATCAAGCCATCGCTGATTCAGAATGTCGTTCTCAGCACGGGACTTCCCACGTACACGACCCGCTCCTGCACCGTGGACGCGAATGATCTCTCGGAGACCCATCGCGGCCCCGTGTCGCGTCTCCCATTGCGGATCGAAGAGATCAATCATGAGGAATTCGCATAGTCGTTCGTACGGCCACTCGGCTCCTTCAGCCTCTTCATCGGTCTGCAGTTCCGATTTTATGGGTAAGACTTGACCCTTGAATTCTGAGACGACCTTGGAACTCTCATCAACCTCTGAAGATCTCTCTAACGAGAAATAGTCATTAACTTTCGATTCCTCACTACCGTTAATATCTGACATGGCAGTATCATCGGATCCAAAGGTATTCGTACGTCTCGCTGACAGATCTACGAGTCTATTCTTTGCGCCTGCAGATTGGGCTTCTCTCTTCCTCTTCCGCTTCAGTTGATTTAGCTGTCTCGCACTGAGGCCAGCTTCTTCTGAAGGGGTCGCGGGGGGCGCATTTTTCGGGGTGCTACTGCCATCATGCCCGTTAGATGTAGTTGGATGAGGCGTGGCCAAGCCATTCTGCTCCCTGGCTGGAAGGTCGATGTCTTCTTCCTCAAGGTACTCTCCTAAAAGACCGAGCCGACCGGCCAGGGTCTTCTTTTGATGGTCAAGCCGTTGCGCAGGCGTGAGGGTTGCAAGAGCATAATCGATCTCCTTCCCTCCGCCTCTCAGGAGGTCCTTCCCGTGCTCAAGGATTGATACAATGTCCAGGGTGTTTAGACTTAGTTGGCCATCTGGAAGAGGAGTATCATCAATGATCTCTTCTTTCTTGATGGAGGTTTCATCCTCTTCCTTCTTTGGTTCCTCTTTCGTTGGTTCGTCAGCAGCATTGGGGTCGTACTTCTCGGCGTGATCGACGATGCCGCCCAAGGCCTTGGCGGCTGCTATCCTGGTCTCCCATGTCTTGTGGCGGAGATAGGGGACGACTCTGGTGAGGAGGTTGAATAGCTCTTCAGGATGGGCCTTCTGGACATCGGCTAACTGCTGAGCTGCGGTGAATCGGATGAGTTGCGTGCTGCCCGTCTCCAGGAGCCTGTAGGATTGGTCAGTGAGGAGCCGGGGGGGAGGGGGGAATTAAGGATGCGAGTGATGTCGTTCGCGCTCCTTAGGATGAAAGTGAGAGCGGGGGCAGAGCGCAAGAGAAATGAGCTGGAATTAGAAGGGGGGAGTGGGTGAGGGGCTCACGTGACGAGGCGGTCCAATCTGTACACGTGATGTTAGCGTTAAGGTTCCAGATTCGTGAGTCGATGAAAAGTAATAAAGAAGAGGAAGAGGAATTATATTATCAATGACGGGGAAGAGCAGTAGGGAAGAGCAGTAGTGGACTGACCTTGATGCCATTCTTTCAAGCGCGTCGCGTCTTCATTATCTAGAGAGTAGAGGATAGACGAGCATCGAACGCGCCATGAATCTAAAGTGTCTGATCTGTTGTTGTTCAAAAGAAGAGGCGCGACGTCCAAGGGTTGTTGGTTGAGTGGTTGGTTGATAGCCAAGACGCAACGCGAATAAGTCGCGCACACACGCGCCAAATGATGATGACGACGATGAAGCTTGGAAGCTGGGGAGCCGATGCGACAAGTTGAGTGAGATATTAGGGGGCCAGCGGCGCGCAGGCAAAGGGCAAAGAAAGAGAGAAATAGATCGATCTGGCTGTTGTTGCAGGGGTGGGGGGGGTTGGAGAGAATTGGTAGGAGGATATAATATCGACCAGCTCTGGCAGCGCAGCTAAGAGCACACACGAGATGCGTATTTGCACGTTGCACGTTTTTTCGCGAGCGACTTTCTTGGGGCGATCCACGCCCTTTATTAATACTTGGTCAGGGCCACACGGGGCGCTCGCTTAGGGCTTAGCGCGTGATTTTGCTTTTTGGCGTCTTTTCCGTGTCTGTCTCTGGTTTCTCTCGTCGTGTTCTCTTTGCTTGTCTTGTCATCTACTGACTGTTAACAGTATCTATCCTCTATTCCAGTCAGGACAGCATAGCTTGAGTCTTGATGCATTTACTCACTCACTTTCATACTCATGATTAAGTGGCTGCCTCACCTTCCCGCTTTCCAAGGCTTAATCAACTCAAGCTACCTAAGGTATCTAACGTTTAAGGCTATGCGTGCTGTATCTATGGCTACCTAGGACATGGCTATGGCTCAACGTCAAGCCTCTAGCAGCAAGCCTCATCATCTCGCTTTCCCCCATGGCTGGAGCTGCCACTCTTGCAAACACAGCAAAGGCCAAGGACGCGACAAATGAAGATCGTCATCTGAGAGAAAGAATGGAAGATGATCAGAGTTGCGTGCCATGGCAGATGTCGCTATCGAATATCAGGATAATGCCCATATGAATATTTCTTTGAGTGTCATGGTCAACAGAGTCACAAATATATATATATCTGTAGATAACTACTCCAGTAACCGACTCATGAGAGAACCATCGCGTTGACCCCATAACAATAAGCTCCGAGACCCCCGTCCAAGGCTAGAGAGGAGTCAGATATCGCCATGAGCACCGGGAATATTTCCCCGTCCCTGGGCACCCGGTTGAAGCAATCAGCGCCTGTCATGAAGCTGTTGGTAAAGGTGAATGAATGGACCAGCTTGACAGATCTCACAAGGCTGCCGCGACCTAAACTAGGGTCCTGGTGGGCTGGACCATTTATCCATTACTCCGTACATACTGTGCTGCCCCGTAGTCTTAGGGGAGTGTCCGAATCATGGGCCGTACCCATTCTTCTCCCGATCCAGTATCGATAAGCTCGGCTCTGGAGAAGTACATATATACATACGTAAGGTATGGATGGATTACTAGACCATGAAACCCAACACTATCATTCTGCATCGAACATATGCAGAACCGCAAGAAACGAACATCAAACCGTCTCTCCGCTGCTCCAAAGGACCATGTGTCAAGTTGGCCCGATCAGGCTTAGCGCCCCTTGAAAGCGGTCAGGCGGCGGCTCCGCGTTAATGCCAACCTCGACAAGGCATCCCCAAACTCAAACACCTCGACTCCCGTATATTGAGGCTTGGATTCTTGCATCCTTCACCTCTCCTTGTCTGCAAACCGCCCCCGATCGTTCTTCATCTTGCTCGCGCTCTTACCCTCTTTTGCTCCCGCCTTTCACTCTTTTCAATGCCGTGATATTCAACCCCCGTGAGACGATCCCCCCTCCCCCCCAACAACCGTCGTCTGCTTGGGCACCATGGCCTCCTACAATCCCTCGATGCCTCCCACGGCCCCTCGACCGGCCGTCTTTGGGGCCCCCGTCCCGGTCCATGACCCAGCAGCTCCAGCGGGCACCTTTGCGCCCGGCACCAAGATACAAGTGGGGAGCCAGAAGGTCATCATCCAGAAGTACTTCTCCGAGGGAGGCTTCGCCCATGTCTACCTGGTCAAGATGCCAAAGCCCATTGATGGCACTGACATCGCCGTGTTGAAGCGGGTTGCCGTGCCCGACAAGGAGCATCTGGCGAATATGCGCACCGAGGTAGAGACGATGAAGAAGTTGAAAGGGCATCGGCCGATTGTGACTTACTACGACTCGCACGCGTCGCAGCTGAAGGGTGGGGGATATGAGGTCTTTTTGCTGATGGAGTTCTGCAATGGTGGCGGACTGATTGATTTCATGAACACGCGGCTACAGAATCGATTGACGGAGCCGGAAATCCTGAAGATCTTCTCAGACGTGGCCGAAGGGGTGGCATGCATGCATTACCTCAAGCCTCCGCTCCTCCATCGAGATCTGAAGGTTGAAAACGTCCTCATAACCACTAGGGGAAACACGCGGCGGTTCAAGCTCTGCGATTTTGGATCAACCGCCCCTCCACGGCCCGCAGCAACAACTGCTGCCGAGTGCCGCCTGATCGAAGACGATGTGCAGAAGCACACCACGCTTCAATACCGCAGTCCAGAAATGATCGATGTGTATCGAAAACAACCTATTGATGAGAAGTCGGATATATGGGCGTTGGGTGTGCTTCTGTATAAGCTGTGCTATTACACTACCCCTTTCGAAGCGCAAGGGCAGCTTGCCATTCTTAATGCAAGCTTCAAATTTCCGAGCTATCCAGTCTTCTCTGATAAATTGAAGAAGCTCATAGGTATGTGACGTCTGCTGGGGCCATATCGATGCTGACTTTTTGTAGCGTATATGTTGAAAGAGAATCCCGCGTCTCGCCCAAATATCTACCAAGTTCTACGTGAAGCTTGCTTGATGCAGGGCATTGAGGTCCCTATCAAAGATGTATGTTTATGCCTCGAATATATGAAGCTGGAGCTCATCTTCGTAGATATACTCCGGAAGGACACAATCAGAAGCCAGACGCAATCAACAGCTACCGAGGCCGGAACAGATGCCCTCTCCCGTTGTTGGAGCAGTATTTTCACCGCCACAACAACAACAACAGGTCATCCCCGAGGTTGTGCCGATGCGAAGGGGTAGACCGACTGCTGGGTCACAGGCTCATGCGCCCAAGCCAAGTCCCTCTCCAATGCGAGGCACTGCGAGTGACCCATTCGCCGCTCTAGACGGAAAACCCCAACCTATGCAAGTAGATGAGCTTTCTAATCGATTTCCGAGCCTTGACCAATTTTCTCTACTTCACGATGGTGGAAAATTCGATTTTAATTCAAGCCCACCGCCTCATCGTCCTTCACAAGATCTCGGTCAGCGAGTGACGGAGAAGCTGGCAGATGATGCCTTTGCAGCCTCGCGATCCAAGACCCCTATGGCCTCAACTGCGACCCCGTCTCCCGCTCCCGCTCCCACCCCCGCGGTTTCTCGTGCGCAGAAGATAATATCGAGTAATCCGGAGCTACAATCCGTCACATCTCCCCCAAGCGTGGTCTATCAACCAACGCCTACTCGGGCTCCAAACAGTACATATGTATCAACGGGAACCATGACCTCGCCCACCCCTCCTGCGGTTTATCGTCTCTCACCTGATCATCACAGATCCGTCAGCTTGCCAAGACCTCAAGAAGCCGCTACCTCGAAAAATCAGCATCTACGTCCAGCTAGCCCGTCTCGCCAACCGGGCGCCCTCCATCGGAATCCGTCGTATGGATCACAATCAGGCCACCCGCAACATCCCTCGTCGTCGCGCCCATCATTAGAAGGTGGCAGGCCCACAAGCATCGTTCTAGAGCCAGTAATCAGGACGAAGTCGAGTAATGCTCAGTCGCGACCAACGAGTGCTTATCTTGAGTCGAATATCGATTATCTCCGTGAAAAAGAGTCACGCGGTAGAAAGTCAACAGATAAGCGTCCAACATGGCCTGTAGAAACAACCCTTCCGGATCCGAACTCAGATGAAGATACCAATATTGAGTCAAATGTCCAGTTTCTTCGCGCAATGGAAGACCAGGAGACATCCAAGAAAGACCTCAAGAAGGAAGCCAAGAAGGACAGGCGTCGTAGCAGCGGCGCGAACAACAAATCCAAACGCTCAAGCATGCCATCTATGTCATTGTCAGGTACAAAAACTTTATTGGCTGGGAAGTTTGGCGATGCCTTCAAAAGATTCGAAAATAATGCCAGTGCGCCACCTGGACCACGGACTCCAAGCCCGTTGCAAGAGATGGAACGACGCGATCTGACACCAATCGCCGGCTCAGAAGCGACGGACGGGCGAAGCGACGACGGAAATATCGTCGACGAAGTGAACATGACTCAAGAACAGCGTCGCGAACTCGAACGGCGACGTCTCTCCATGGAAGAGAAGCGTGTCGCTGACGCTGCAGCTGAGTATAGAAAACGGCTCGCGGAAAATGGGTCTGGGCCTGCACCCAGAAGTATCGGCGGTATATCACGTGCCGCAAGCATTCAAAACAAGGTCAAGAACCTCCTCGATGAGAGCTCACAACCTTCACCGGTTAAGAAGACGGCTGAAGGCTACGGGAGATTTACCGAGAGCATGTCGGCCCCGCAGCCCAGTCACCTTGATCAATACTCGAATCCGTATGCCAAACCCCACCACCCCCACCATCCCCATCTTCCTCATCTTCCCCATCTCCCCAACCTCCCTCGGAAGCCTCACGTCCAAGGGGGTCTTCCTCCAAGATCTGTGCCAGCTCATGGTGAGATCAGTTACCAAAAACCGCGTACCCAACCGATAACACCCCCGGCTACCATATCGAAGACGGGCGGCCCTCGACCGAGCGCACCCCCCAAGCCGATGCACCTGAACAGCATCAGCACCGGTCCTCAACACTCACCCCCTCAACCCGCGTTACCCGCCCGACCGATACAAGCCCGGCCAGATATGACGCAGCAGGAGAAGGAAGACTATATTGTTGATTTTAGCAGGCGATTCCCCAGCCTTTCAGGAATTGAGATGGTGGAGAGAGAGATCGAGATGGATAATGGCAAACGGGATGATGGGAGGGCGAGATCCAAGGTTGTCTAATTCGGTCTCAGACGCAAGGTTCTCTTGGGGTCTGCCGGGCTGCTGGAGGGAGGGTATGTATATCTAACACATAGATTTATGGTTGACGATAGAAGATATGGCTGAATTTTATCGTCTAATATATCAAGTGTGATCAAGTGACCAACTAAGTTTAACCATTGACGGACAATTACTGCTAGGGCTTCCCACGAGGACGGCTTGCACTATGTCTCTTACCACTATCCCCGCCCTTCCCTAATCACCCGTCTTGATCTTAACAACCTCACTATCTGCTCCGCTACATAACGAGACAGATAGAGTTAACAAGGTGAGGGATAAACAATGCAGTCTAACAAAGGAAGACAAAACAGTAGGTAGACAAGCTACTACTACAATCTCACCTCCACACATCTACCAATCATGCATTCATTCAGACCCCTAATACACTACAGGAATTGTTCTGCGTAGTTTCTCGCAAGAGATACTACTGATTTGTGATAGGCAGGAAGAGGGAATCTTGGGGCATAGGGTTTTAATAGGGGACGGCTTGGGGTGGTTTGCTGGGTTAGGTAAGTTACTCTGGGAAAGGAAGGAAGGGGTCAGATGCTAATATTATGTTCTTGATCTGTTAGTTGATGAACGGAATGGTGCGGAATGTAGGGTTATGAATGGGGAAGACATCGATTATTCTCTCTACCTTGCGATTCCGCTATCCTTTCTAATCCACCTATCCGTTCCTCTCAAAGCCCTCACACTCCATCCATTCCTCATCTAACGCAAAGCAAGGCACCCGGATCAATCAATCAATCAATCAATCAAACCTTAATCCACTCCTCCTCCCCGTCATTCTCCACCATCTCCCACTCCGCAGCATCTCTCTCCTCCTCTCTCTGCCGCTTCCTCTCACAAGCCAACAAAAGCCCTCTCTCCTCCTTCAGCGTCTTTCGTAAATCTTCGACTCCTGGACCGTGCCAATTGGTGGCTCGCCCGACGAACTTGATTTTTGGATTGGCTCCTGGGGTTTGTTAGATCGGGTTGGAGGGGAGGGGAGGGGAGGGGAGGGGAAGCTTACGAGCTGGCGTCGGATACTTCGCCTGGAGGCCCTGAGGGGAGGAGGAGGGGGAGGGGGTTGCAAAGGTGATGGTGTTTACTTTGCCATCAGACTTGTTATCGGCATTGACCGTGGCAGCGCGAATCACTATCGTCAAGATCCCTCCTAGTCAGCTATCTCTTCTTCTTGCTCGTCACGCGGGGAGAAGGGAGAAGGGAGAAGGGAGAAGGGAGAAGGGAAAAGGGAGAAGGGAGAGGAGAGAGGGGGATAAGACATACGCGCCGCTTCAGCAACTTTCATAGCTAGGCCCTTCTTGACAATCGCAGCAGCATCGCCACGATCCAAGAGCTTCTTCAGCTCGCGAACGTGGTCATCTCGACGAGACGCGTCTGAATACGTGATTGATTGATTAGCTTCTTCGCACAGGAGGAGGAGGAGATAGCAAATCAAGATTCGTCAAGAGACAGAGAGAAAGAGAGGGAGGGAGAACTTACGAACACCACCACCGCTAACAGGCATCCCGTTCTTCATGTTGTTGTTTTGAGTTTGCGAGTTAGAAGAAGAAGAAGAAGAAGACATTTTTGATAGTAAGTTTCGATTGATTATTTGATTTGTCTTTTTCTTTTGTCTTGTGTTCTTGAAGAAGAGGGGTTTTTGAGGAGAAGGGTAGGAGTAGAGAGAGAAGGAAGGAGGGGTTTTGGTTCGTGTTGTTGTTGTGGATGGATGGATGGATGTTGTTGTTACGAGACGGTTAGAGGAGCGCGATGGGATATTTTTTGTTTATACAAGACAAGACCTGTCGAGGATTCACTTTGATAGACGAGGTTTCGCTAGGATAGGATGGATAGCCGAGTGATGCTTGAAGAGAGAGGGAGAAGAGGGGATGTCTTGTAGGTAAGCAGGTAGAAGTGGAAGGGTGTATAGAGGGAGGGAGTTTAGTGATTCCTTGTTTTTTGTTTATATCTCTCCGTCTGTCCAAGCATTCAGATTTAGATTTATCTAGATCAAGAAGATAAAAAGCCGTGGTATATTGTATGCCCCCTTTCCCCTATTCCTAAATCTGTAAAGCAAAGAGCGTATTCTATTTCTTAACTTACTATTTGAATCACAACCCTTAGAGTGCTACCATACCATGCTATGCCATGCCATACTAACTAAAAGACAAAAAAAGCATTCTATACCTACCTACCCAACTCTTTCTTAAAAGATCTTGAATCTACATATCGTAAGGAAGAAAGAAAGGTGGAAACATACGCGTGTATCTGTTCACAATTCAATACACTTAATACAAGGACATAGCTTGTCCTCTCTAGGAACATGACTTTTGGTTTCTATAGTAGTACCGGTCTATTAATAATTCCTCGTTGTTAGTGAACGAATAGGTCTTTAGTTTGTGATTCTTATAATTTATATCTCCTGGATTTAATACAAGTAGTCTGTCTAGGCGATAGAATATCTAAAGCTTTGAGTAGGTAAGGTAGGATAGGCGATTAAAAGCAATCTGAGCGATTAAAATAACTCAGGTGATTGCTTATTGACTGAAGGTACGCTTTCCTATACACATGGCATAGCATAGTGTTATTAAAACAAAGAGGAACATGCATTATAGTCACAATAACCTACATACATATACAGATTTACATCCTTATATATATCTTAAAGTGCTTTAGAATTGTATTTAAGTAAGGTACTTAGTTGCAAGAATATATAAACCTATCACAAGACTATTATTATCAGCTATAAGTTCAGAGAGCAAGTGCTGGATTCCGTACTTGTGTGATTGTTATGTTCTGTCCTGTTTATATTATCAAATTTGACTTCCCCTTAGCTTCTCTCTCTCGTATCTTGTTTAAAATTATCAACTTTTCCCTGATTCTCACAAGTCTTCTATAGAGCAAGCATTTGCGTTCTGTTGGTCTAGCGGATACTTGAGATCAGCAGGAGCCTACAAGTTCTGCTCCAGCAGTGACTTATACTTTCTTGATCTTTAGAAGTTTGAAGTTGGGGACAATGTTGATTGATTGATTACCTAGCCATACAAGGAAAAGGGGCATTCATGCGAGGGGAGCCCCTAAACAATCTCTTTAGGTACACTATCGTAGCTAGACAATCATGCCTATCTATATACCGATCCATCAGATTTCCATTCCATTCCTGACGCTGAGTTCCAAAACCCGCATTCTCACTACACTAATCCCAGGCAAGGTTTCATCTCTCTAACTAGATGATGAATCTTTTGCTCCCTTCCACTAAGCCATCCATCATCTTAACGGCGCTCGTCCACGGGGGCATGAAGCGCTGCACCTCATCCAGCGCGGGCATAACACCGAGTTCGTTGTGATCGCTCCAGAGACAGACCACCCTCCCACTGCGTCCCTCCTCCCCTGGTTTCTTGCCCTCGCTCACCGGCCACTCGACATCGACCACCCATTCGCGATCCCAGTCTCTGTGCCAGAGCTTGATCTGATCGCTGCCGGTCTCCGGCACGTCGTCCCATTTCCCATCGTTCGAGGCCGCGCCGTGCACGTGGAATGCCGTGAAGGGCTCGTCCCAGCGGATGATACAGGCTTTGGTGTCTCGGCCCGAAACGTGGAAGCGCGCCTTGTTCTCGCCGTCGGCTCGCGTTACGTTGAAGGAGAGCCAGTCTTTGTATCCCTTCTCTGGGGGTACGCCTTCTGCTACATTGTCCACTACCTTTGGAGCGATCCCCTCGTAGGAACAGAATGAGAGGCCGTCGCGGATTTCGGGTCTGGCGGTGCAGGAGATGGATTGCCCGGCTGCGGATGGGATGTAGGAGATTATGTCGCGGATATATTCCTCTAGTCCAGAGAGCGTTACTGTGTTGTTCCCCGTGTCTAGGTCAACTGTCTGCTGGAAGTAGGCTTTGTAGCGGTTATTCGCTGAAAATGGGAATGCTACCAGGTTGTAAATCAGGGTTCCGATGAAGACAAGGAAGAGGAAGGTAGGGATGTGGTGTGTTATCCGGTGCATGAATGGCGCTATGGGAAGGATCAGAAGGATGGAGAAGAGTGCTATAGCAAGGTACGGGAGTAGGAGGGGGCTTCCGTCGGTCCCAGTTTGGTCGACTGCAGTGACAATGACGAGCCCAACTTGTGCAAGGATGATGAGGATGAAGGGCCCCATGAGGAGGAATTGGAGAAGCCATGTCCAGGTGGGAAGTCTTGCGGACCATTTCTGCTCATTGCCAAAAGCATGATGCTCATCTGGAAAAATCTCATCGGCCTCTCCGCCTGTTTCGGCGATTCTTTGACGATAGCGGCTTGCAAAGGTGGTGCCAAATGTACGGCCGTGGCCATTCTGCCCACCAACCAGCGGAGTAGTTTCAGTGGTATCGACATTCTCGTCTTCGTTCTCATCTGCTGGAGCAATGAGAGCATCAGAGTTAGGCACTGCCTGAAGGCCTTGTCTTACTTGGTACTCGTCGTGAGATGCCTCAGCGATCGAATCCTTCGTCGGCAGCGCAAACAGTTCACAGAGACTGATAAGAGTAGCCAGGAATATAGCAGCCTCGTAGAAGACAATCAAATAGCCGCCGCTCATTTTGAATTGATCTTCATACACCGTAGCAGCAACGAGAGCTGCCCAACCGAGTATGAACATCCACATAAGGGCATAGCCCCGGTGAAGCGCTGAAGGTCTGATATAGTTGCAACCAGCCATCATGAACCAGAATGCTGAGAAAAATAGACTTATCGACATAGCCCATACGGCGTATTGCGAAGAGTAGACGATCAATGGATTAAATTTCCTGATCAGAAATGCCGCTCCCACCGTGAGCGCGGCAGAAACAATCAGCACTATCGGGAATCTGAAGGCTCCTCGCCAACCACCGAGAGGGACCGGCTCTTCTTCGCTGCCCTCAGGTTTGACTGTCCTAGAGAAGAAATAATACTTCTTCTTCCGGATAAGGATAAATGTGACGAGCATCAGAACTAAAGGCGAGACCACGAGGATAGTGACCGACCACGCGAAGAGAGTTCTGAGGCGGAAAACCGCAAACGCTCTCCCGAAGAGGTCGAACCATACTCCGTCAGTACCGTGGCCGTTCTTCACTTTCTCGGTAGCGTTATCACGACGTGGTCCATCGAATTCCTTGCTAGTATCCGAGCTCAGGTATTTCATCGTTTCCACCGACGCAGACAGCATGTGCCATAGAGAATCCAATGAAGCATGTCTTGCATCGTCCTGGTCGGTGTGGTATCTGGCTCTCGGCTCCCAGAAAGCAACATCGAGTCCACGGTATCCTTTGGCGCGGAAGACAATGTAGTCCGTCTGACTGCGTACAACTCCTGACTCGAAACCATCGGCACTGATAACCGTACCGAAGGGGTGCTTCGCCTTCGCGTACGCCCGAGTAACTTCCGTGTCCGTACTCCTGAAGAGCGTGGCTCTACCGCCTGCTCCCGCACCCTCGAGGTTCAAAAATGAATGGACAAAAGATGCCATTGGATGGGAGAGAAACGCCTTAGCTCCGTATAGGCCATCCTCCTCTCCGTTATTCAACAGCACTACAACACCCTTCTTGGGGGTATTTCCTGATGTCGTAAAATATTTGATCAACTGCAATGCAGTGATGACGCCCATCCCATCATCCGTAGCCCCAAATCCAGTCGATACGCTGTCGAAATGTGCGTTGACCATGACCCCACCCTTGCCATGAGTTTCCGCGGCTGAGGCTGTTGGGTGCCACCATTCGCCCTCCTCATCCTCAGTTCCACGAATGTAGACAATGATGTTGTTTCCCTCAAAGTAAGTGCTGATCCCTAAGCGTCTGCCACCCTGGCCTATAGAAATCAGAGCGTTGGTTGTGTAATTAGCCACGAGGTCATTGAAGACCGTAACTGCGGGAGATGCAGCTCTAGACCGAAGTTCACCATGAATCGACTCGGAGGCAGATTCTAGATCGGTGTCATGCGCTGGTATCCACGATGGGGTTTCCTGATCTGCAGAAGCCTCGAGCGCTTCTTCGACAGCCTTATCATCCCCATAAGAGGGCAAGCTTCCCTCCGCTGTATATTTCACTCCATTGGCCTTCAATATCCCGTCAATCCGTCGTAGCAGCCAATCCCTCACTTCATCGTTCCTTCGGCTATTAAACGGATGGTATCCGTTGCTCAGCTCCGCAAGGTCGAGCCACGCTTCCGTGAGATTGAGACCGTGGTAGGGAGTGGGATTCCTGGGGGCCGCCGGCACCGTCTCGTGGATTATGAGGAGAGGAATGAAAATAGCTAGGTATACCACGGTGACAATGATTGTCACGGGTAAAGGAAGGAAGGAGAAGATGTTAGAGGCCTTCATGATTGCTATCGATACTCGGAAACTCGAGGCCTGAGATGCGCTCGGTAAGGTAATCGAGGGCCGAGTCGTGCTGCGCGATCGTGCTCTCAAGGTGCCATAGAGGAATTGAAGCCTCAGTAAGTGGTATCCATGATGAGGAACCGTGGGTGAGAGAGGAGAGAAAGCAAATGGGCTGGAGTTGAAGCTATATTCGCAGGTGGCGGGTAATGAGGTTACGATGGTGTCGCAAGCTCCGAGCTCTGGTGGGGTTCGTCACTCGTGGTCTGACCGACAGGAGTGGGGCTTCACGCTAACATCTCTAAACAACTTTATCGAGACTTCACCTGTCCGCTTTGGGATATATGGGAGCTATATATAGTTTACTAAACGTTATCCTGTCTAGAAAAACTATATCTGTAGCCTAGACTTTCACTTTCAAATATCAAACAGACATACACGAGCACCTGCGAGTGCTGTGTGTGTGTGTATGTCTACTGGTCTGCCTTACCTATACAGCATTCGATTCAGGTTTCCGGGAAGGAGCAGTGTTTGGCAGCCTTTCTAAAACAAAGTGAGAAAAGCAAGAGTAAATTCATTAAATGACGCGGAACGCCATGCCGTCCACGGGCAACCAGGGGGAGGGGGGCACAAGAGCCAGCCGTCCGGACCATATCCGTCCTGACCATACGAGTCTTCTATGTACAATGCATCGATCATAACCCTCTTCGACCTTCGATGTTGTTCAAGACTGTGGTTGATACACCCTGTTGCATATCTCATCTGTATCCTCGCTCCGTGGAGGAGGGGCATGGAGGTATCGTGATGTCAGTAAGTCAGGTCTTGATATCAAATCTTGAGATCGTGCGGCCCTTCGTTGGCATCCGTATCGCCCGCCATCCTCAAATCATCAAGACCCTAACAATCATTTCTAAACTCTCCTTCTCACTTCAAGTCTGAGCCCCATCGTCACCATCAGCATCCAACTCCTCGTCTCCATCTGCGTCTTCGTCGCCATTCAATGCCGTCGCGCCCATCAGACCCGTCATTGTCTGGTCGTCCTCAGCATCCTCTCGGGCCTCGGACTCGAAATCATCTTCCACGCCGTTCTTGTTGAGATATGTACGCAGGTCGTTGACGCCCTTGCCAGAGAAGACGCAGAAGACGTTGCGTTGATGTTCGGTGAATTCTGCTCGTGTCAGTAGAGAAGGAGTAAAAAAAAGAGGGATAGTAGAAGCGCACCTGCCGGAGCCTCGCGACAGAATTGCTCGAGGTCATGGCGGAGAAAGGCCTGGACCCCGGTTAAACTGAGATGGGTGAGTTTTTGGCAGTTATTAAGGAGGACGATGATGCTCTGGAATCTTGTTAGCAGTAGTACCATGAACCTGAAGGGATAATCTGACTCTGAGTGTTAGATTGGTACAGTAACTAAGATGTACCCTTTCAAGGCTGCTCCCCGCAGTATAGTAGGTTGGCATTTCTTCACCACCGGGCCGATGGGCACCATGTCTGATACGAGGTTGATTGGCCTGCGCCAATGCATAAACACTCCTATCAGTGATACTAGAGCACTTCACAAGGCCGATCCGCCTTAACTTGGGAAGAGCAGCCAGCTTCATAATAGAATCATCGGTGAGGTGAACGCAGCATCCAAGGTCGATGTACCGGATTCGGTTACAGCATGCCACGAGCTTCTGGACCGCATTGTCTGTGATATGGCCGCAGTGTCCGAGATGCAGGTAATGGAGATTTTTCCCTAATCTGCTGATGGAGTTGACAGCGGCATCTGTAAGATTTCTGCACTTGGAAAACACCAAATTCCTCAATCGTGGAGCAACATCAATGATTCTATCAACGGCACGATCTGTCAATTGAGCACAACTTGTAAGATCCAATATACGCAGATGCTCGTACGTCCGGTTCGGAGGCAGGTTGAGGAAGGCAGCGTCCGTGACCAAATCACAATTGGCTAGCCGAAGTTCACGCAAGCTCTGACCTTTGCTCAGGAGAGCAGTCACTGGGTCATTACCAATGTTCCGGCACTGATGGAGATCGATTTCAAGGATGTTAGGGCAGTTCTCGGCGAAGGCAAGGACGGCAGTATCATCGAGTTGGTCACAATCATTCAGTTTGAGCTAGAAGGATCAGCAAAGCCAGAATATAAGGGGCTGGAGCCAAGGCTTACTCTCTTGAGATACTTGCAGCTCTCCGCAACCTGGATCATAGACTCGTTAGAGATCTTCTTGCAAGCAGATATGTTAAGCCCCTGTAATCGCCGACAGTTCTCTGCCAACGCATACATCGAGGCCTCAGTTATTTGTGTATCTCCAGATATGTCCAGAGCAAGGAGATGACTGCTCCCAGTGACCAGACCGATAAGACCATGGTCCGTAAGGCCCTTGCAGTTCGTTAACGTCAACCGTTCGACTCTCGTACAGACTGAAAGCGGAGCAACACTGCCGTCATTCACCCTATCCGCCAGGCTCGCAAGGTTTAGCCTCTTGATGAAATCCCGGTATGCGAAGTACGGGTCGGGGAGAGAAAGGGTTTTGCATATAGACCCATGCTTATTCCAAGTTGTACAGGTCGGTCGGTGCCAGAGAAGGTCCACGCAATTCCTCGCCCATCGTTTCGATACGCACATGCTGTTCAGCAGGTCCTGGGGATTGCTGAGCTTCGAGAATATGCTGATGAGAACCTCAGCCGGCAGACGGTTGGCCGGGGGGACCTTGAGCTCTTCGGATACCGCCATATCTTGGAATGTAGGAACGCCCACGGACGACTGCGAATCATTGTTTCCTGCGTAGAAGTCCGACTCCTCGTAATCTGCTCGTGCTGGAGAATTGCTTGACGATGACTGGGAGTCTCCATCTGCCTCGGGCGTCCCGCGATAGGACGTCTGGGTGTTGATCGCCATGGATACCCGACCCCGCATGCTGAGCGAGGACGAGGCTTGTCCAGGAGTTTGCGAGGTTGAGGCGGCCAGTATATCAGATTATGTTACTCGCGTCTAGATAAGTCCGACGTCGTGATTTTGTGGGCGTGATAGCGAGGCTTCGCAGGTGTCAGGTCGACACGGATGATGCCTGGTCGGTTCAGTGGCTGGCTCAGCCTCGCGTTGAGCAGAACGGTTTACCTGGACTTAGATTCGGTTGTAGAATTGTAGATGGCGATGGAGTAGATACCACGATTCGGAAGGTCCTGGGCTTCCGATGTGGCTCTGTTGTTGTATGCTGGTGGCAGATTACCAGGCGTCTAGCTGACTATTGCTGGATCTGGGGTTTGAGTTGTGATGGAAGAGGTGTGCAGCTGTTGAATGCATTGCGAGTGATGGTGCCTGATTGGCTCGGCTAAGGCAGCTGTGACCAGCCCTCTGCACACGTGATTGGGTGAGACCGCTGGATGATTCCTTATCTATTTTGGGCGTTGTTGTTGGGCAAATGACAAAGGGCAGATGGCAAATGGCAGATGGCAAATGATCACAGCTTCGTACTTCGATGCAAGCAGGTTCGGGTCTATTGCGGAGGTACGTTGTATTTGCTATCTCGCGCGAGGCACAACATACCAGACGCAGCCAGTCCACCCCTTTGAGAGCTTATCGAAGACGATACCAGTGTAGTCCCTTCCTTGGATCTTTATCAACAGAACCTACTACAAGTTGTTTCTCCTATCCCCCGGACTGTCCGCCTAAAAGCGCAATCGGGAGACAGGGAGGCTGATTGGGCCACCCTTTAACTTGCAGATGGAGATTTGCATGGCCTAAGGACTCTTACGTGCATGAGGCTGATTCTTACCAACGGTTGGTGGAGTTGGAAGCCCTATGATGAAACTACATAACATGGGGAGCTGCAGATTCGACCTTGATAATGGCCGGAAACCTGCGACCCGCGTTTGAAAATAGGTCGAGCATTCTGATCGGTAAGGCTATTTGACTGTTGGGTCGTCAAAAATAGGGCAATAGACGCCGAACACGGGATGTCCTGGGGAGAATATCAAGGATATCGCCGCAAATTTGGTTTGGGCTTTTCAGCGAAACTGTCTTCTCTTCTGGCTCCTAGATTAAGGTAAGGGACCTCACCTCTTGCTGTCACGTGAGCAACATGGCACTACCTTAGGTAGATGGGTTGAGATGTGAATTCAATGTCCAAGCACTCGTTCTATGATGTCTAAGTCTATCTAAGTTCTCAATCTCTAAGTGCACCATCATAAATCGTACATCATATTCACACGCTATTCCCTTCGCCGCAACTCCTGTGCTGCACTACTCCTCTATTTCTCGTCATAGTTCCCCTTCGCCCATGCCCTCAGCACATTCTTCTTTATCTTGCCCGTGCTCGTCTTAGGCAACTCCTGCACGACCTCCACTTCCCTGGGAACCATAAACTTGCTAATGGAACTCTCGTGTTTGGCCCACTCAATCAACTCCTCTCCCTTCAATTGTCTGCCTTCTTGGACTGTGACAAAGGCCTTTGGTCGTTCTCCCCAGTGGGAATCAGGGACGGAAACTACACCTGCTTCCAACACGTCAGGATGTTGGGTAAGCATCGCTTCCAGGGCAACGGACGAGATGTTCTCTCCGCCTAGATATCCGTATTAGCCATCTGAGAATCAAAATAGGAAGAAAGTGGGAGGATAAGTACCGGAAATAATAATATCCTTCTGCCGATCCAAAATCTGTATCGAACCATCCGGATGCCAAACCGCCAAGTCCCCACTATGTAACCCACCGCCAGCGAACAACTTCTTCGTCGCCTCGGGGTCCCACAGGTACTCTTTAGCGCAAATATTGCCAAAGAACACAATCTCTCCGATCTCCTTTCCGTCCTTCTTGACATCTACCAACTCTCCATCCGCCACCCCCTCAGTCTTGATAACGCGAACAGGCAACGAGGTGATAAACCCATGACCCTGGCGAGCCATGCGCGCGTATTTCTCCTTGGTAGGAAGCGTCTCCCAGACTGGCATATGGTAGCCTTTGGTTATGGGTCCGTAGGTCTCCGTCAAACCATATACATGAACAGGCATGAGGTTGAGGTTGGTCATTTGCTCGAAGAGGTGAGCGGTTGGAGGGGACGCGGCGACGGTGACGCGGACGGGTGAGGGGAGTCTTTCAGCGTCCTTGTTGGCGCAGAGTAGGGTGTTAACGGTTGGTGCTGCGGCGAAGTGGGTGACATTCTCGTTCTTTAGCAGCTTCCAGATCAAGGGGTAGTCGATTTTGCGAAGGCAGTAATGGGTTCCTCGGACAGCGGTTACGGCCCAGGGGAATGCTAGAGAATAAGAGAATATTGATTAGCTTGCGAGTACAAAAGGTGATGAGGAATGGAGGCAAGGGTAGTATTGAGATGGGACGCCGCTCGAATGACGGAAATTGGTAATCGAGGGACTAGGTAGACTCTATCACAAGCAATGCACCGGTGATCGAAGCACTTGCTTCACCATTTCTCTTCAAAACGAACAAGCGAAGAAAAAGGTAAGTACTCACTCCACCCCATAGCATGAAACATCGGTAAGGTCCAAAGATATCCACATCTTCCAACGTGGTAATTCAGACCCGACTCAATGATATTCGCCAACGCCGCCAAGTATGCACCGCGATGCGTATAAACCACACCCTTCGGTCTGGCGGTCGTCCCACTCGTAAACGGGACGGAAATGCAGGAATCCTCGTCTTCTGTCTGGGCTTTCAAGCCGGCCCATCCACGGCTCCCATTTTCGGTATCGTAATTCAGGCCTTCCAAAACCGCTGCATCGAAGGGGCCAGACAAGGCGCCCGAGGTCGAGTCTGTATCGGTGTCGATTATGAAAGGAACCTTCGGGTTGCGTGACCCAAAATCCGAGAGTAGGCCAGCGTATTCCTTATCGACGATGATGGAATCTACCTTTGCGTACTCGAAGATATACGTGATATCCTCCTTCTTCAAGCGATAGTTGATTGGGACCATAATACCACCCGCAGCGGCAATCCCAAAAATGGACCTATTGAGCGCATGTGTTAAGATATGCCTTTGGAGTGGCGAGATACGGGTTCTTACTCTAGGAAAGCGGGCGTGTTAGGAGCCAGTATCCCAACTCTCTTGTAATCATTTTTGATCAGATAATATGCCAATCCTCTTGCCCGATCAGCAAATTCTGCATAATTCCGTCGCAAAACCTTCCCGTTTGCGCACACATGGTAGATAGCCAAAGCATCGGGCTCTATCTCTGCGGCGCGGGGAAGGAAGAATGTCGGGGACCTGGATGATTGCGGTCAGTCTTTTCCCGGTGCGACTGAGAAGAAATATTTGAACACGTGATAGTGTCCATGTTTGAGCTGCTGGACATCGACCCTCCTCAGATATGTTGAAGGAGTTACCCAGCTTTGGGCGCTCACGGATCGGACCAACGGAAGGACACATTTGCGACCAGGGACCCTTACAGATGCTGAATATGGTATTGATGGGGGTATGCTGTGTTATCCGCTACCGTACTGGAGGCCGAGGAGGGCAGGAAGTGGGAAACCAGTTTCTGAAGACGGGTTTCTGGGGGAGACATGTTGGGCGTTGTCTCTCTGCTACTCAAGAAAGGGAATGAAGCTGGAGTTGCTGGGCGCGGAGGAGGATCGTGGGTTTTTTGCGGGGTATCCGGGGGCGGTACGCACGGCTGCCGCGCTATCTCGGGTCTCCAGCACCGACTACCGGTAAATTCGCAATTGAAGGAAAGGAGACGCAAGAAGCCGAAAAAAACAAAAAGCAATTGTCTACTAAAGATTGAGAAGCAGTATTGTTGTGTAGAAGGAGAGGAGTGAAAGCAGGACTTTAATACCCGCGCAGACTTGTCAAGGTCAAACGACACCCCCGCTTTGGTGGGGTACGGCCACTTCCCCCGACGTTGATCATCCTCGGCTATAAGAGTGTGCCTAGGTCCTAGGTGAGGTATATTTCCAATCAATCGTACGTTGGGGGAACCGGTTTCGCAATGCCCACAATAAGAATTACGGCGTCCGTGGATAGTTGAGGCTATCTATACCGTAGCTACAGGCTAGAGCAGGGGAATAAGAGCTGCCATTAATTCCCTTTCCCCGCCAAGTACCCAGCTGAACTACGGCTACCCGGCATTACGCGGCTGTGGACGGCTTTGAGAGAGCCTGCCGGTAGATACACAAGGCAAACGCGGTCTCAGGATATTGTTTTGTGCACCTGCATTGGGTTTATTCCGATACCCTTGCGGGTTCATTAACCCTACCTAGGTAGGTATATGTGAGGGGCCGAGCTGGGTGACATTACATATCGGAGACATTGGGGGTATATCGGTGTCGGTTACAGGCTATGCAAGATTCCACAAAGGGGTAAATGGGCAGCAAGGGAAGCGGGCAGTCCCGCATGAAGAGGGGAGTGCGCTGATGATCGTCGCATTCGAAAGAGTGGCTCTGTCCGGAAAACTAGGGGTCGAGGGAACCCATTCAACGATTGTCCATCAATATCCAGGAATCCTATGTGACCAAGGCTCTCCAAGTATCACTGCCACCCTTTCGCATTCATAGCTATCACGGCGCACCCTTCCAACAGTATATCCGTAATGGGTCAAACGATCCTGTTCGGCCTTATCGGTTGTCACATTAGTATCAGTCCAGTGTCACCCTCTACCCCAGAATTCTTATTCGAGAATTTTTATTCCCTAGAGCGGCATGCAAGACGAAGCTATACACAGAAGAGCTCCTTGCTCATCGGTGGTCTTTTCCGCACAGCAACCCATGTGTATCATATGACCTCACCAGCCTTGGGATCCACCCTCACGAGTTGAACAAAGCATTGACGTTGTGACTGATTGCAAATTGATAGAGAACAATCCATGCACCCCCTCCATCCCAAGACACAAAGATATCGTCGACGTCGGAAAAAAATTAGTAGCCGTACTCAGCCAACTGCTTCTTCGTCTTGTCGTCAACCTTCGCGCTCTTCTGGGCCTCGGCGAGTTGTCTTCGTGCCGTCTTCTTGCGGGCGTAGTATGCGGCTCCCTTGACCTTCCGTCTCTCCTCGAGTCTACGCATGAATTAGCTCCGACCAAATCCGAAATCCAAGCGCAGTGGCGCCGCAAAGCACATACCTAGCGACAACATCCTGGTACTTCCATCCAACCTCGTGGCTCAGTCGGCCAACTGTGCAGTACTTGCGGCCAGGCTTCAATCTCAAAACTCTCAGAGCTTGAGGAACGACCACTCTCTTGACCTTGTCGTATGGGGGTGGGACACCCTCGAAGACCTTGAGTCTCTCCATAGCGGCGGCACCACGGGCGGTCTTGTGGGGAATCATTCCACGGACGGTCTTGTAGAAGATTCTTGAGGGGGCGCGGAAGTGGAAAGGACCTATTCCGAGTCAGAGCCCATTCCCAATTTCCAACCGCTCATCCGTATTTCGAGTCACGGATAGTGTAGCTTACCTCCTCGGGTGGGGTTGTATCTGGTCATCTTTCGGAGGTATGCGTGGTACTTTACTGTAATCAAAGTAAAGTCAGTCGTAGCCCTTAATGTCCTGATGTGCGCCCATGCAATCCAATTCGTCCTCTTCCAATCCAATTTCGACGCAGGGTATGGGTGCAGAACATACGCTTCGCACGGAAGAACTCTCCAGAGATGTTCAGGGCCTCGCATCGCACAACGACGATCTTCTGACCGTTGAGCAGCTGCTTAGCCACAGTGCTGGCCAGCCGACCAAGGAGGTGACCCTTGCCGTCGATGGTGATCTATTCCATCCCGTTGTTAGCAGGCTCCTCGAAACTCCTCTCGCAATTCCCTCTCACGGCTGTCCCGATTGTTGACGCATCGCAACCTCGCGACGAGGAAGGAAGAAGGGAGACTCACGACGTTCTCAAAGGTCGACATCTTGTCCTGCTACACGTGGAATGAGAAGACAGATATCAAGGTTTGCCGGTATCCTCAACCTTCGTGATGGTGGAGGATGGTTGTCGATTTGCCGTTAGAAGTTCGTCGCTGTTTCTCGTCAAGAGGTTCGCGAGCACACAAATTGTGATGTCGCTTAGCGTGTTTTAGCCGAAGAGCCGCATCAGGGCTAACGCCCACAGGCCCTAATTAGAGAAATTCAGGGAAGTGAAGAGAGTTGCTATTCATGTGAACATGTCAACGAGTGATGGATTGATTAATTATGAACGGCGCTGTCACTAAATTCGGAGTCGTTATGCTGCGCTCTTACGGCATCTGCACTTGTCGATATTCTGCTGGATGAGATTTGAAGATTTATAGCTACCCTCTTCTTCGCTCCTTCCCGTACCCCTTCAATTACCTCGCGGCCAGAACCATATCGCCGCATCATTCCATGACAAGAGCGAAGGTGGTCGAGTGCTCAATAGAACATACTCTTAGGCAGATTCGTCAAACTTGTCTTGCAACCATAGGAACCCCTCGAGCATAAATGCATTCTTACATTCTAACGCGCCTTTTTGAGTCGAAATCTGTTGTAACTATGCCTGTCTCTTGTTCTATGCATCAATATATCGGAAACGCCATCCTGGATCCAGTCAACCGCTCAGCGCAGTACGGCCCACTCCGGGTGAGCTCAGAATACATCCCATAAATGCAAATGCGACGATCCAAAGAAACTCGTGCAGTTTCCCTCTCTTGGGAAACAATTAGCTAGCCCGGCACCGACGTACTTCAAAGCAGGAGAGAATTCGTCAAGCTTCGCCCTTGGAAGACAAATGCACTGCCAGCCAAAATTAATAGAAGACTCCGGCATAATATTCCAACCTCCAGCTGCTCTTCGAAACCTATTTGCGGGCGGCATCATCCAACCCATCCAAGACCTCCTGTGTCTCCTTAACCAACGCCCTTCTCTTGTCCCTAATCTCAGGATCGCCGTCCGTCTCCACCGCATCCAACTTCAGCATAACCTCATTCATAATCGTTTCAGTCAATCTCTTATGCTCAAAATCCTTCTTCTTGGGATCCTGTGGAGGGTCCAGCGTATATTGGACACAGAGCGGCAGAATCTTGGTGTGAAAATGGCTCGAAATACTCTGCAGCTTGTCGATGGCAGTTTTTGGCGCCGGGATTGGTGTTACCGGTCTGGAGCTTCCTTCGCGGGCGCCTGGATCAGGGCTCAACTTTGAGTCGCCCTTTCTACTCTTTCCTCCTTTCTTCTTGGACTTGCGATTCCGCTTCTTCTTTCCGGTGGAATCCGCCACACTCTCACTCCCATCAGAGTCCTCGGACGCGTCTGCCGGCGCATCTCCAACTATACAGAGAATCTCACTCTGGTTTCTCAAGTTGTAATCTCGGCATGGGCGGTAATCATCCTTCAGTTGTTGTCCCTTATATAACAACTTCAACCTCTTCTCACTGCCATCAGGCAAGCCCATCACGATGGCAGCGCGCTCTTTGATATCTCTCACTTGTAATTTCCCATCTCCAATTGAGTAAGCTGGAAACTTGACGGGATAGGTGATGCCTTTGTTCTTGATCAACAGCACGTCGTCTGTGGCCGTCGCGCTCGTCCCCGAGCGGTGCGGGTCGTGCGCGCGGGCCAGGTCATCGGATGTGATGTAGGAGAAATCATCGTCGGTGACGTTCGGGATGTTGCTGCTGCGTCGGAAGGGCGACAACCGTGATCCGCCGAAGGGGAACACGTTCGTCAAACGATTCATTGAGAGGGCAGCGGTGAGGAGAATGAGTAAGGTGCCTGCGAGAGCACTCGGCGGCAGCTGGTCTAGATGTGCGGCTTTAGTAGCGGCGTTGATATACTGCTGCGCTGGTTCGGGCAGCGAAGAGTATGCCTTGGATACAGAAGAGAGAGATGTGTCGACGTAGCTCTGAAGAGAGTCAGGGAGGCGTGGAATTAAGGATGACATGGGATGCTCAGTTGCTGCAAACCACCTTGGCTGATACCCTTGAGCTCCTTCGGTGCCTTCTCCGTCGGTATTAGTTTGTGGGGTGGTGGAGGACTCGAGTCTCTCTGTCTCTGATATGGACAGAGTAGTCGACAAAGCCGTTGAGGCGACCTCTTCTCCTTGCTTGGCCCTTGACCCGACTTTATTCCTTGACAAGCGAGTCGAGATAGTACGGGGGCGAAATTCGGGAGGCCCAGGTCGTCCAGGGCACGACTGTCTGCTCCGACGAAGGCAAGGTACGGTACCGCTAGAGGAACGACAGGATCTCTCCCAAAACCCCGTGGTTGATGTAATGCGAAAATGTTGTCCCTTATCCCTCGGATCAGCCCGCAAGGAACTACAAGGGGAGCATGGATATACTCACTCCCGTCGATGAATCGATTCACTCCCCCCGGCTTTCCCCAATCTTGCGTCATTCTAGAACGCCCTGCATCTATCCACATCTCGCAGCGATTAATAATTCTTCCTCCGGATTGTGTTATAACATATGATATCGTTCTCTATCCGCGACTCTATATAAAACCCATTTGCCCCTCGCTCACGTCGCTGTCCTAGACACAGCGATCGAACACTTGCCCATCATTTCGTTCCTACTACGCAGATTCTTTTCGACGACACCCGTCGCCCCAGCAAACATGTCTGCTGCTAAGACCAAGGCGCTGAACATCATTGATGAGAACGCCGTTGGTACGTCTTCCCCGCTTCCTCTGCGCCCGGATCGCACGCGCATTGCAGCTGCTGACGATGTGATGCTATTTAGCCGTCTTCTCAAAATCCTGGTGCCCGTACTGCCGCGCCACCAAGTCCACACTCGATGAGCTAGGAGCCAAGTACTACGCTATCGAGCTGGATCAAGTTGGTACGTCTCCTCCGCCCCGAGTCATCCATCTCCTGGGAACCAAGGTCAAGGTCTGACGGGAATGAACAGATGATGGTGCAGCAATTCAGGCGGCTTTGAAGGAAATCAGCGGCCAATCTTCGGTCCCCAACATCTACATCAAGAAGCAACATATTGGTGGTAACTCCGACCTCCAGGCTCGTAGAGCCGACTTGCCAACTCTGTTGAAGGATGCTGGTGCTCTGTAAGCACTGGATGGAGGACTTGGGATGTTGATAGCGGGTGAGGATGGAGGAGGTTGATACCCGGAGCCGCTGCTTCTGAGCACCCACGAATGTAAAGGATTACGATCCGTATACAACCAGTATACAACTTGCTACGATGATTTTATTTCTCGCAGTGAGAAGAGTCCTATATGTCACATTTATTGTACAAATTATACACGAACCTGCGTAGAGACCGTCCCCATCGGCCGCTCCACAAACTCCATGAGCCCATTTACGACGCTTTGCCGAGCCCCTTCACTGGCGACCGTCTTCCCCGCCAAGTAATTCAACCACACTGCCCTTGAAAGTCTCTCATCCTTCACCTCTCCCAACCGCTGCGCGCTCTTCCCATCATCATACCAGACGGCTAGCTTCCCCTCCCTGTCCCTGATCAGCAACAATTCCTTTTGCTTCGGGACACTGCCCCTATTGAACAAAGCTTTGAACTGCTGCATCGCGGCGCCAAAACTCTCATCCTGGAACTCTTCCTTATGGATAGGATTCTGCGCGCGTGCGGTGATCTGCCTCACCCACCCATCCCTAAGGTGATGGAAATCCGTATTCCGGGTCGGTACGATCCGAATCAGTGACCTAATGTGTGTATCCTTCAACAACTCGCCCCAAACCTTTTCTCCTTCCTGGGGATCTAGCAGCTTCGACTTTAAGGCATCCTTCTCGCCTGCTACCAATGTTGATCCCACTGAGCTGATCTTCCGAATCAGAGCCTCTTGTAACCGAGCGATATCGTCCGTTGCGACATACAACCCCACAACATAGACCTCAATGCCCAAGAAACTAACAGTCCGGATGCCCAGCCCCAGCAACTGATACTCCACGGTCCCGCTATCACTTTGCGCGGGGCCCAATTCGTCCGCCCGCGCCTCCACATCCTCATCAGAAAACTCCACCACCCGCGGAAACTCCGGCACCGTGCTCGTCCCCGTCTTCACCGTGTCTGGAATCTCCTCCGGCTGCTCGCCCATCTTCTGCACTACGACCTTCCTCTCGCGCCCCAGGACAACCATCGGGTCATCTGCTCGTTTGCCGGAATCGAGCTTGTTGGCGTTGGACGGCGGTGGCAGCTCTACCGACGTCGCTGTTGCGTAGATGGCGACCATGCCAAAGACAACCCCAATGGCGGCATAGTAGGAGCGTCGTTTATAGTATGCGCGCCGTTCAGCTTCGAGGCGGTGCAGGGTGACGGAGTCGAGTAGATTGCGAGGCTCTGGAGCGGGGGAAAGGCTTTGGGATTTGGCGCTGAGATTCCGCAATTGCAACCGGGGGGAAGTGAGACATCGTGGGCGTATAGGATGCCGTGGCAGGAGGCGGAGTGCCCTCGTGGTAGGTGTACGGAGAGACATTTTGAGCTGCTGTTGTGTTGTTACAGAATGCTGAGGAGAAAGAAGTTAGCTGGTTAGCTGATGTTTCGAAGTGATGACGAGATGCGCTTGTCTCGCTTGCATAAAATCCGGGGAAGCTTGATCTCAACGTCCTTCGACTGGCTGCAACTTAAGTTTTCTCAAACCTCGAAACCAACTAACCATTTGTATATCGTACAAGAGGGCATTGCCATATAGGTGACTAAGTGGAGTGAAACAGGGGAGTTGGATACTTTTGGAACTGGGGTCCAAGACGAAGCAGTCAAACTTCCTTCACCGATTGACCGTGCTGGATGATTGAACAAGGATCAAATATTTTCACCCTTCTGTTTTGGAATTTGGAGTATGTCGGGGTAGTCCTCGCTGATTCTAGGTGCTTTGAGGCAACAGTTGAATAAGGTCCCACATCTTATTCGTTAGCTTTCCCCTCATCTACCTGTAAACAAACGAATCACTTCTAAATATATATCTGCTTACCTAGCTCTTTGCTTTCTATTTCTTCTCTATAAACATTGTTCTGTATCAGTCTAGACAATGAAGGGTCACATCTACTGTCATAAACTCTGAGCTACTCAACATTTATGGACTGATAGTTATTAAGCCTTGTGATCCAGTTCTCAGTCGAAGAGGATCCTGCAAATTATCCATAACCCTTAATCATCTTAGTGCAATGCTTAAGATAGGAATCTTTCACAATTCTTGTTCCATTCTAAGGCCGCACACATCTTTCTTTCTTCCTTCCGCGGTCGGGTACTCCGATTTAACCTCGCCGCCGCGACTCATCCGAGAGCTGGCGAAGCCCGAGGCGTTGATGAACTGGTTCGGCTGGATTTCGAAATATGGAATGGCAATCGTGATTCTCGCTTCAGCTGAGCCTCACCTTTCCATTTACCCTGCTCTCCACACAATGACATCCTACTCTCCACGCGATGTAATCCTCGAATTTTGAGAAGTTGTCGCCCGCCAGATCCGCACTGTATCGCAAGGTACGGGAGGCTCTGAACACGTACAAGCGCCCAGCAGAGAAGGACCTGAAGGAGCTCACGGACGAGAGCAACGGCAGACTGCCAGACCGCATCCAGGTTATTTACGATGCATACCTTTTCCTACAGGAAGGGCTGATGCCAATCCCTCAACACATGGCAAAGCTTGGTACTGTATTCAGACACAAAGTGCTGCCGAAACCATACACAGATGCCATCGCTCGTATTGCGGTGAAGAATCGAGTAGCACTCGGGGACTACGCCATCCGCCTTATGTTACAGCCATACTCCGCAGCCGACAAGAAGAAGATTAAGGAGGCAGGCGTCGACATAGACCAATTGCCAACACAGGCGACCTCCCGAAGACGATGAGCGCGTTACGAGTCGACAACGGCGACAATGGCGATAAGTTGACAACGGATAGAGCAAATGACAACGGAAATTCACTTATTCCACTAGGTGAGAACGATAGATCAAGTATCTTACCTTGCAGTTGGGGTGTTGATGCCATTGTGAGTTTGTGTCCGAATTCACAGTTGGAATCTTCGAGTTTACCGTGAAAGTCTTGATCGTCAAATCCTGCCAGAAGAAGGTATGTCCGCTGGGAGGGACTTGGAAGACATTTAAACATTTCTCTGACCATGAAGCTCGAATACTCCTCAATAGCCGAGAGTCTATCAAGATTCAAGCCTTCTGATACTTCTTTCCTGGTGCGCACCGTCAACATATTACCTTCCCCTATATTCTCCAGCTACCCTAATTAACTAGCCTACCTAAGTTGACTACAGTCACAGATTTCCCTTATTTAGATCTAAATCTGAATCCACCCTTTACTACCTAGTTAGTGAATACCTACTAAAGGCGTCCTCTCTTTGTTTACCTACCTACCTACCTACTTTACCTACATTATCCTACCTATCCTACCCACCCTCCCTACAACACCATCACCATCACCAATACCAATACCAACACCACCACTGCCATGTCCCACTAATTCAAGATCCAAAATTTACAAATTATCATGATTCTTCTACTAATTTCCGGTCCCCACCTACCTACCTAATTCACTATTACATTCCTAACTACTATAACAACAATGGGCAAACATATCATGAATGACAGCGAATTAATCAATCAACAGCGAAAAAAAAAAAAAAATCATAAATTAACATAAATCGACAATCAAAAAGCAGAATTACAATATATTCACTTTACTTTACCTTAACTTATCGAAACCTAGGAGTAAGGCCAACAAAGAAACACGCAGAAAGACCTTACCCCCGGCAAATCTCAAAGAACGACCGCACCCGCAGCCGTATGTATTCTCTCCTCGCAAGCAAGCCATTCTGTATAACGAACTTCCTACCTAGCAAGGACAAAATAACTCTCAAGTCCTTCCTTCCTTCCTTCCTTCCTTCTTATATATCATCAATCAATCAATCATCCACATTTAGTATTCCATGCTCTCTTCATTAACGATTGGGTAAAGAATCATAGGTAGTTAGGAATAGGTCAGAAAGAAACCTTGATGTGAAATGGAAAAATGTCGTGGTTCGAGTTCGAGGTAGGCGAGGAGAGGCGAGTGTGGTTAAGGGGTTAAGGGGCTCGTTCGCTTATCTTAAGGTAGTTGTCTAAACTGCCCTGATCTTTGAGGAGTGGAGAAGGTATAAAGATTGATTGATGATTGAAGGATCTTTTCTGACGGTTAGGATTTGTAAGTATCCGCCTAACACTTTTTAATTTTAATTTATACAATTTTTTAATTAATTAATTTATTAACTAATTAGTACTTATCTCTCTAAAGATACCTTTCTTAGTCGAATTTTATAATCTCTCCCTCACTCCCTCACTCCATCCATCCATCCATCAGAACTCCGCGCGAGAAAACGCCTGCCCCGTTCGCCCGCCCGCCTGCCTGCCCGCCTTTTTTTTCTATTAAAAAAAAGGGGGAAAGAAAGAAAGGAGATTAAATAAATATCATATCATATCATAAGTGTGATGATATTGTGGTATAATAGGTAAGGTAGGTAGGGAGAGAGATATAAAACGCCAGTGCCGATGCTCCTGCTCCTCCGTTCCTGTCCTGCACGCCGTGGTATATATATTTAGGCGCCGCTGATTTGTTTTGACTGAGAGATGAGATGAGATGGGATGGGGATTTTTGTTTGGTGTTTTGGCTTTTGCTTTTGCTGCTTTTCGGCATCATCGGGAGACGTCGCGCTTCGGTAAGGTAGGTAGGGTAAGGATTCGCCTGCTGGAGCGATATCGATGTACGCGCATATATATGTACCTATGCAATGCATTGCATTGCGATACTGCGTTGTTGCCTCATCACCCGAATAACCGCACGGCCACAACGAGCAGCACCAGGGCCCACCACGACACCGGATGCGGCATCCCCCGCGCTGCGGCGCTCACGGCCGGCGCCAGGTTCGCACTGACGAAGCCCGGGCCGCATTGCAGATTGACCTGTGTGGCGGCAGCCTCGTAGTCGTTGGCGAGCGCGGAGTCTTTCTGGGCGCCGGCTTGCTGGAACACGGTCATGGTATTCTGCAGACACGCGTCGCACGTGGGCTGGCTGCCTCCCGGGAGCGCGATGTTGAGCGGGAGGTAGTAGATGTAGGAGTCGGTGGGGGAGGAAGCGTTTGTGACGGCGTCGGCGAAGCAGTAGGAGGCGGTGGTGGGATCGCGGAGGCAGGACGCGGTGTAGAGGGGTCTGTAGGCCAGGAGACCGAGGTGCGCTTGTTGGATGATGGGATTCTGGTTCGAGAGGTCGGAGCCGCAGTTTGCGGGGAGGGCGAGGTTCGTGGCGAGGTCGGTCATATAAGGCGTGCAGACGGTGGCATCGGCAGCGCAGGTTGCATCGAGGGTTTGGGAGATGCGGAGGAAGGATTTGGTGGCTTGGAAGAAGGAGTCGGAGTTCTGTTCTGGGTGTGAGATGGAGTCTACGCCTCCAGCATAAGGGGAGGGACATGAAAAGAACCACACGCACCTGGAGAAGCAGAGAGAACGGGAGGCAAGATCTAAAGGTTCCATTTGCAAGGAAGCCATACATGAAATCCGCACAGCTCTGGGTGATATTATTATTGAAGCCCTGATCGAAAGGGCTGGGAAGAGGATTGGGCGTCTGGGAGACTGCCGTTGCGCCCGTCGTCTGCGTCACTGTCACTGTCGCCGTCGCCGTGGCTCCAGCGCGGCGCTGGAGAGGGACGACCACGTCGTCATTCTCCGTCGCCAGGGTCCAGGCCTTGGGGTTCGGGGGCGGACGCTGGTCAACGAGGAGAGTGTCTGACACGGCTTGAGCATCGAGCATCTGCTCGTCGATGTAGATATCTGCAGCTGGGGAGGGAGAGGCGGAGGCGAAGGCGAGACAACATATCGACCAGAGGAGGAATAAGAACCGGCGGGGTGGATGTGAGGAGGGAAAGGAGGGTCGTCGTCGTCGCTCGTCCATGGCGAAGGGCTCTGCTGGGTCGGGGAACATTGGCCGTCTGGTCCTACAATCGTGGTTCAAGCATCGTATACCTAGGCGTCTGCGACGGGATGGAAAGGAGCGGACTGTACGCGGAGCGCACGAGGGTAAAGGAATGAATGGACGATATCCTGTCGATGGATATTGATATCAGGTGTAGACGTCCATCGCCAGCACATATAATATTAATACGACACTACCTTACAGAGAGAGCAAGATCTATTCATCACTTTTTTCCCATTCGATCCGACCAACCCCGAATGATCCAGCCACGATCACTCCCCCTTTCCCTCTTCAGGGTCGCAGCGCCGCTGAGGCTTAAGCCGTGCACCGTGGACCCTTGACAGCGCGGAGCTTTCTGCATGCAGATACGAGTATCGATAGATGGGCGGGGCGCGACGAGGGTTCTAGAATGCTGTGACTATGAATATGGATGGATAGCCCTATGGATATTAGTAGTGGATATCGAATATGTTATATCTGACATGGTCTATAAAGATGTAGCCCCTCCACAGAATCTCAACCTCCATACCAATTAATCAGTCAATCAATCAATCTCAATATGTATCCCCTCACTGCGACTACTACTGCCAGGTACATGCGACACAAACAGAACACATCAGGCCCAGACCTCGGTCCAGAACCGCCCACCGTCTCTCGCTTCCCAAGCGAGATGAGCACCCCGCGGCCACTAGGCCCAGATGGGACGACGGGCGCTATTTCTGGCTGGATCGGCGCTGCGTTCGGAGCATGCCGTCGGTAATTATCCGGATTGCATAATCCGGTTTGTTCAGGGGAGGGGGGAAGGAAGTCTTTGAAAAGGAGGGAGAAGGGGGAAAGGAGAGAGAAATATATGAAGAATTATATATAAAATCTGTTAGATTGATGAATATTCAGAGAGTCTTATTTTCTTGATTATTTGAGAGCAGGAGTTGGCTGTCTATTAAAATCCCCCGCTGTATGTATGTAGCCCTGCCGCCCCCCGTCCTACCCGCCCGATGCCACCGTGCCAGCCCAGCCAAGACTCCGCTCCCAGCAACCCCATCACGCATTCGCAGTCAGAGAGACGACTTTTATATACCTAGACAGATAAGGCTAAGGCAGATATATAGGTAGATATCTCCTTTCTGTACGTTGTACATAGATACATAGACAGTACAAAAAGTAGATCTCTTCTTCTACATTATTTTACCCCAAGCACCACCACGCCCTCGCACATCCACCAGGATAAAAACCCCAAAAACATTAAACCGCAAAAAAACACAAAAAATAAAAAACAAAGGACGATTGAACATCACACCTCCCTCGGGTGGGCTCGAACCACCAACCTCTCGATAGCCGATGAATGGTAATTACCTATTCATAACAGTCGAACGCGCTAGCCAATTGCGCCACGAGGGATTTTGATATGTGCGTCTGCCGTACCGCTTCTCAAAAATGCCCCCCTCAGCTTCTCTCCGGGCCCAAAAAAAAGGGGGGGAAATCCCGCTCTCTAAAAGGAAAAGAGACAACCCGAAGAAAAGAAAAAATAAAAAAAAAGAATAAAAGAATAAATAAACCCACTGGTGAAAGAAAGATCTCCCTCGGGTGGGCTCGAACCACCAACCTCTCGATTGCAAGTTGTTCTTTCTACTGCTTAACAGTCGAACGCGCTAGCCAATTGCGCCACGAGGGACTTGAGATACTCAGCTTGCCCATACCGATTCTCAAAACCCTCCTCCTCTCCTGACCTTTCCCTCCAAAAAAATTATAATTGCAACCCAAAACTCTGAACGACAAGAAAAGAAAAAAGAGAAGGGGTCAATTAAAGCAAATAAAAAAACAGTAAATAAATGATTGGGGAAGCAGACGAAACTACTCCCTCGGGTGGGCTCGAACCACCAACCTCTCGATTAACAGTCGAACGCGCTAGCCAATTGCGCCACGAGGGATGTTTGCTAATGGTGTGTTGGAAACTTTTTCGAGTGTTGCCGTATTACTGTTTGGGTTTGTGGGGGCTGAGATAGAGAAATTGGTTGGTTAGGTAGGGAGGAAAGTTGGGATTGGGAATGAAGGAAGGATTAATTGGGAAATGTGATATTGGAATTGAGCGACAGGATCTAAAAAGAAAAGATATAAAAGGAGAGGGGGAGGGAGTGGCCATGATAATGAATACTGGATGAATGAAGTGCAGTTTATTTCCATGATCTGAAGTCCAGGCTCATATCAAAGACCTTACTCACACTTTCATACACGTGACTGGCTCAGGGACGACATCAGCACTCAGCAGATACATATGTATTATATCTGCATGAACCGCTTACTCGAAGCACCATCTGTACATACAGTAAACAGAAGGATAAATCCCAACACCAACTACCCAACTATCAGCTCCCTAGCTACCTTACTCCAGCTTCTCAAAGGCCCTAACCACATACTCCCTCCCCCCAATCCCCACCTCCATCCCAGCCCTCCACCCCGCCTCCCCATCCAGCATCTCCCTCCCCAACATCTCAAAACTAAATAAATCCTTCACATCACCAATGCTATATCTTCCCCTCCACCTGCCCCCCTCCGCATCCCACTCCTCCCTCCTGGCCCCAAACCCCTCCTCTCCCTCCCCCAACGCCAAGAACCCGCCCGCAATCCGTCCCAGAAACGATTTCCCATCCACAGATTCCAGGATCCAGGCGTGTGGGGGCCCGGGGAGGGGAGGCAGCGTGTGCCAGATCTCTTCGTAGGCTGTGGGGATGTTGTTTTTGTGCGGGCAGGGCATGGTTCCGGTTTCGAGCGTGTCGCCGTTGGGCAGGGGAGTGAGCACTCCTTCATCCGGTGTGTTGCTGCCGTGGGAATCGAGCGTGTGTATCCAGCGGCATTTTACTGGGAGCGGTTAGTCGTGGAAGGGGGTGGGGAGGGGGGAGAGATAGATGGAGGAGATGGAAAGTTGGATGTGTATAGCATAAGGTAAGGGAGGAATATAGACAGAGATGCGCACTCGCGCTTGAGAGAGATTATGGAATAAATAGATCAAAACAAACCAAATCCAAACCAAATCCAAACCGAGCCTCCACATAGCAAACAAGAATATCCAAAACAAAAGGAGATAAATATGACTCCGAAAATCCAACCCATACCAAAACCCCTTTTCCAAGGCCAGGTTCACAATCCAATCCAACCCAAAACTGTCCCTCAGTTTCTCCTCAAACCCCAACAATATAAAAACAAATAAATACAAACCAAAAGAAAGGCGAAAAAAGAGGGTACACATACAAGGCTCCCTCCCCACCACCTCCCTCGTCCCCGCAAATCCCCACTCAATACTCCCATCCTCCTTCAACACCCTCAGATCCACGAAATACGCTCCCACCGTATACACCAACGTATCAGTCGGTTCCGACGCATCGTCTGGTAGCCAGCGGATACTGACCCGGGTCGAAATATCCGTCGCCATTATTTTGCTTGTTTGTTCTTCTTCTTGTTCTCGTAGTCTTGAAGTTTGGAGATGTGGGGGATGTGGCTGGGAACGCGGGAGTGGGATGAGATGAGATCAGAGGAGAAGAATATCAAATTAATAAAAACTTTTATTAATTACCCATTCAATCTTCCTTTTCCGATTTTTTGAAAGGCCCGTTTCTTTTCAAAAAATACTGAAATAAAATGAAATGAAATAAGAAGAAAGGGAAAAGAAAGAAAGAATCTCATCAAATTTCTAGATAGGAGATACGATGCACCGCCTGATGCGGTCATGGCGTGCAGCGAGGTTCTCGGCTATACCTTACTGATCTAGGTACGTAAAAGTGGATGAATCTCAGACACATAAGCTGGGAGATTGAAATGTTGAGGGATTCAAGATAAGGAAGATAGATTGATTCCCCGTTGGGTGAGAGTCGTGAGACAAGGTCAGGAGAAAAAGGAAAGGGGGTGTGTAAAGCACGTGAGTATGGTCATGTGATCTGTGTCAACTGGCTCTCTAGTTAAGGTACCTTGAGGTGGGTAAGTACTTTAATCTCATGTCATGTTCGTGTTACTTATAGATTGAACAACAGGACGAGTGGGTAGGAGGTTGGAAAGAGAGAGATATTCGTTGCTTTACTATACCTACCTTGCAGAAAGTTCTGAAAGAGCGGCGCAGAAGAGCGAGCGCTTCAGTAATAATAGCTTCACAAAAAAAAGGGATTAATCCACTACTCCAAAACAAACCAAAGGAGGTAAGAATCCCACCACAATCCTATTCCTCACCTCAAAACCAGCTAGGAGACACCCAGACCCCAAACCTCCCAACCATCAACAGCGATCTTCACCACCCCCGGCTCGCCCTTCCCAAATGGAACCCACTTTTGACCTTCATCTTCCTCGCTAGGGCATGTTCCATGCTCAAATATACACTCGTTCAAATCCTCCAAATATGCAATTCTCGTCTTCCCTGTCGGACTGGTTATGCTCTTCCAGTTGCGAGAGTCAACCCCAACCGGGAGACTTAGTTTCAACCTGGGGTCCAGCTCCACCTCTTCCTTTTGAAACCCATAAACCCTCTGCACTGGGAACAACTGAAAAGGTTGGATTCTGCACTCCTCGCTATTTGGGCCCTCTGGGCAAAGTGCGACAGGCCCTCTTATAGAACCGCAGATTATTGCCCCGACGATAAATCTTTGACGCTGCTCAGGGGCTTTGCTGTTTGAAGAAGGGCTTTGTCCATGACCGGAGATGATGAGAATTCGATAACCTGTCCAGCTACGAAAACCATCCACATCACTGCAGTTCATTGGACGGAGTGCCTGACTGAAGAAGAGCATAGTTTGCGAGAGGGGGTCCCAAGGGGAGAAGAAGGTACGAATCTGTGCTAGGCGGGGATAGGTGAGGATCCTGTCCGGGATCTGCGGAAGGAGCTGAGTCTCATAGTCTAGGTTGTGCAAAGGTCTGATGAAGGGCCTGAAGAGGTTCAAGAGGCCTTTATCTGGAGGATTTTCAAAGAGTGCGGGCTAAATAGCTATCAGGAATGTTTCAGGTCAGGAGAAAGGAGCGAACGTACCATAGTTCGAGCGACGACTGCGTCAAATGCTTCCCAAGTTAGAGAGTCTGCCGGATCTTCAACGAATGCAAAGCAAATCGCGTCCAAAGCTTCCTCAAGTGCCTCATTCTCCATGTACATTCGGTCTAGGTGACTGCTGAAGACTCCAAAAGTAGAAAGGAGCATTAATTTAACCCATTCCCTCCAGTCAGCTAGTTGAATCCACAGTCGGTTCAAAGATTTCTCATAAGTGGGTAACGCCTGTAGAACATTAAGAAAGCTATCGCGATATGGCCCATTGTTAGAAGTGCTCAACGGTCGTTTCCCTTTCTTGGACGCGACTATGGGTGGCTTCGGATACGTCTGGATCATGACATCCAGCAAATCAACTTCCCTCTCATCCTCATCATCCTGAATGACGACCTCTTCAGCGGCTGCCTTATATTCATCAGACCCCTTCACTAGACCCTCAGGAACCAGATCATAAGTGAAGTGAGGTACTGCAACCACCGTAAAGTTTGCAGTCTCTTCTTTACTGCCAACTTTGGCTTTCCTTCCTGGTCCTGCTTCACAGTCGGGAAGAGGGGTCGCTAGGAAACGAAACATTCGCCGTCGCTGATCTGCATGGCTTCCTGCTCGATATGTCAAGGCGCTTCCCATGTGAGGACCATACTGGCAAGGGCTGCTACAACCGGACCGGGAGCTCCACTCATATAATCCGGCCATGAGTATGGTGCCGCGGAGGAAAGGTCCAAATGAGATTCCACTGGGATCTGAAACCGGAAAGGGATACTCGGAGTAGTGGAGAAAGACTTGATATAAGAGTACTAGGCCGCGTTGGACGGCCGGTGCATAGATGCCGAACCGGTCAGAGAGAGTATCAACAAACTTGGACCTGGAGATATAAGGAACCGAGGCACCGGTAGGGATGGCAAGGCAGCCAAGGAGCGTGGGATTTGCGATAACTGAAGTCTCGCATTAGCATATATTTCCTTCCACTACTGACAATGCTCGAAGACCTTGCCTTGACGTTGGGTTTTACTCAACTCCTCATAGGCAGGCTGCAAATTCCAGATATCTTTCGCGCGTGATAGTATGTGCTCTGTGAATCTCTTCATGATTTTTTCTGGCCTCTTCTTCAGCTTCCTCTCAATCATTCTGGGATTCCACTGGAGGGCAGACTAACCCCGAGTCATCAGACCCTTGCTCATCAGCTTCTTACACTCTTTCCTCTTGTCTTCTCTATCCTTATCCTTAGGGAAGCTCCTGGACTCCATCGCCGCCACGAACTCTGACGGCGACGGCGCACAAGACATGAAGATAAGAAGATGGGGGAAAGAGGGGAGGACAATAAGAAAATGTAGAACTCTCCAAAAGACGAGCGAAGAACGAAGAAGAGAGAAGTGGTGGTATGATGAGCGATGCCTGCCAGTAGTACCTAAGAGATGGTAGCTAAGATGCTAATGTAATTGAAGTGGTTGGTGAAAGTAATCGGGAGGATTGCTTGATAATAAGTAGCAAACAATGGCTTTATAGACTTTTGTGAACTTAGAGAAGGGGTAGCGGGGGAGAACGAGACTTCCATATTCGATAGGCGGCTGATATTGCAACGACATGCCTTTTCTGCGGAAGAAGAACAAGAGACATCACCTCTTTTCTCCCTTTCTACAAGATTTCTGAACTCAGAAAAATCCCTGGATCCCAAACTCAACATGGAAATTTCCGGGCCCAGGGAGGAATTGATGGAAGCTCGCACATGTTGTATTGCTCGGGTGTCCACCCTCCTCAATGTGCATTCGACGATACAGACCCCAGATATAAACCTATTATATCTGCGACGGTAACGCTGCGAAGAAGAAGGATGAATTCCGAGGGCTGTTCGTTGTCGGGCCAAGTACGTAAAACCTTCGGTGTTGTTCTGGGGGCGTTTCGTATACTAATGTGGTGTAGGTTTGCAGAGCACCACCTCATTAGTCAGGGCCAGCAGCATTTCAGTAGGCAAATCTATCATGATTCGTTTCGCACTGTATATCGCGGTTGCAGGTAAGGTATCCAGCGTCTAGAATATCTACCATCAGCGTCATCGAATGGGGGGGGTAGGCGGGTGTCGACACGTACGTTACTCCGGTTAAGCCTGCTTGAGCCCTTGCCGCACTCTCCTGGATTCCATTGACCTTGAGATTGTGCGAAAGGGCATATTCAGCAGCTCGAGCAGCTTCGAATACCATGCTCTGTATGGAGGTTGTCGAAGAATCGCCGCTATCAGATACTCCGTACACAAGCCGCGCACAATCTTAGCGCCATTACACTCACAGGGTAACAGGCCCAATCATCCCATCTGTTCACACCTTGAGACAACGTACGCAACGTGACAGCTCCTCTTCTTATACTGAAGGTTTCTCATTCATCTTCAAAGATGGTTCCACACGGAACGAACAAAGTCTCCCAAAGGAGTGGGCTTACTGTATTACTACTAGCGGAGGGTGCGAGTACTGCAAGTGCAGCACAGTGCCCCGAAGGAAGAGAACAAGTGCTCTCTGAACCTTCCGCAAGTCTTACGGTCTCCTGTCCTTTCTTGCACTTATGGGGATCAAATAGAATTACTGTAGTACATCGAAAGAGAAGCAAATCGATACGCAGTGCTTTGCTTCCTGTCTTCGAAGTTAAGCGGACCACTTCTAGCAGTTTATGAAGCACATCTACATCACGTCCAATCTAAAGAAAATCCACGAGTCGAAGAGCTCGATTTCTCCGGATGCCAATCAAATCCTCCCCACCAAGCCGCCTCTTTCCTCCGCATCCGGCTCTCCGCTCTACCCCCACGATGTACGGAGTACAGTACTTCACACCTCTCATCAAATCACCGATGTTAATCGTTTTCCGTGGGTTTTGTTGCACGTCGCTCGGAGAAGGCAATGCGAGGGCAGAAAAGGTATTGGCCGAGCGTATCCCTTCGATGGAGCATTCCGGCCTGTGATGTTGATCAATCATCAATCCGTCCGCTCGTACTTCGTACCTCGGATGCCCGATACGAGGATCCGGCTTCTATTGGTTGACAATCTCCAGAATACTCGTTTTACGTTATTTTGGAGATATGAACAATTCCGAGGACTATGCTGGTACTCTATAACTTTCTCCGTCGACGGCTGCCAGGTCGAATGCCCCAGAATCTCCAGTTCGAAAGCAAGACGCGGCCCGACATATCGTCCATCATCTCACGCACATTTATGATTCCCGCCTCCATCAAAGATATCAAGCCTGTATGTCGAGAGTGATAATGATGATTTCTAAGTTTCGCAACCTTTGTGGAATGCCAAACGCGCGAGTGAACCACCTCCAGAACACTACCTGTTGTAGATTCTGGTCGGCCATATGAAGAGCAATAGAGCCCCTCTCTCGTATGGCCAAGCCAAGGCTTACAGAAGTAAAAGTCTAGGGACGTTTGCAGCAGGGCATTCTTATCCAAGGTGTTTTCCCAAGACACATGCTACCATTCCGATCGGTCATACGAGAGCAATACAGATTTATTCTCCGAGTAATATCACCCTTTCGGCCCTCGACGCAAGAGAGTCTGGCTCCTCGACACAGCCGCGACACTGAAAACTGGAGAAATCACAACTGAAAGAAAATCAGCAATACAATCGACGATTTGAATTTGCCTATAAACGGTGGCTGTTTCCCACTTTTCTGTGCCGCTTGAGGACAGCTAGACCGCAGATACGACTCGCTATGCAAGGAGTGCAGTAGTCATAGCAGCCCGCCTACAGCCGCCAAAATGCATGGCTCAGGCACAGGCAGGAGTCATTCCCTCGGCCGTTGTTGACTATCCCGAGTACGTAGTGTACGAAAGGATCAGGAAGAAAGGATTCGCAAGTCGCTTAACGTTGCAGTCCTCGTGCTTTTAAGTCCAGAGACGCAATAAGCTGTTTCGTTTGACGCGGTGCAGCACATGATGTGAAAAAGGCCATGAAGTTGAAAAGAGTATGAAGTAGAAGATGAATATGAAATCCAGAGAATCTTGTCCTATGAGAGGATTCGAGGATAATCGGAGGCGAGGATCTCCCTGAGAGCCGCTGATTGGTCACGGTAGATTCTCCTATTGGGCGGCTCGAGACCCTACCCCAATAAAGCAATCTCAGGGAAAAGGATTCTGAATCTCTACCATTTCCCCTTTCGTCCCCGCCTTCTTCCATGCAGACTGCAGTCAGCCTGCATCGAAGCACGCGTGGTGTTCTAGAAGCCTTCCTTTTCTATCCACATTGCTCTCTTCTCTGCCACGTAGTGGAAGCGTGCTATGCTACGCAGAATCTTTTGTTCCTGCAGATATCTACATTATTGAGTAAAGTTGTGACTTCGTGTCCCCGAGTGTTATACCCCGTGAGTTGCCAGTGCAGGGATTTGAGTCCACCTCATTCTCAGACTTGGAGGGACTTCGGTTGTGAAGATTTTGGATATTATTCTGAGACGCAACCATAGCCTGTCTTGAGAGAGAGCGAAAGCATGATGGAGTTTCTGCCTTACCAATCTCATCAAAATCATCGTCAAGTAGACCACTTGACGAGCTTGTCAAGATGTTCAGATCTGTCAAAGGATCCCAAGCTTACTTTGTGGGGATCGCTAACCAAGAGCCCTTGTAACCCACGTTTTTCTCACCCCCGAGGCGGCCAATAAACAAGGATTCAAATTGAACACGGCTTGCCTTGCTAACATATGCATGAAGCTGTGATATCCATTTCTCGCCAAGGGAAATGTACGGAAAGGAAAGAGCGGGCTCAAATCCTTTTCTGTATATAATGAGTAGCTCTGCCTACTATCAACACTCAAGTCCCTTGAAACAGGAGGTGTAGGACTCTCTCATCGCTTCTCTATACTATATTTCTTTCCCAGGATGTTGTTCTCGAGGTCGTCTTTATTAGCCTCTCTGGCAGTGTGCACTTTGGTTCATGCAAACCAATCAGTCACAACTGCTGATGTTGCGTCCATCACCTCTTTGAAGAAAGGGACCTTTGGTACCACGATGGGGTCAACTTGCGCCTGTAACATTTTGTCGTTTCTATTCAGAGATAATGTTCTACATCCCGGTTCAGCTGAATACAACACCCAAGCTACCGCCTACTTCGACCTCAGAGAGGACCTTTCTCCAAAGTGTGTTTTTGTTCCAACCTCCGAGAACGATCTCGCGAAGGGCGTTGTCACTCTCGATATCTGCCAATCTCAATTCGCAATTCGAGGAGGTGGCCATATGCCGGTTTGTCAACCTGGGTCTTCCATTTAACAAGATACTAATCCTGCTATTTCAGGTTCCTGGTGCAGCAAATACCGATGGAGGTGTCTTAATTGCGTTGAGCGCTTTCACAAACATCACCATAGCTGCTGATCACAAGAGCGTCCAAGCTGGACCTGCTCTAAACTGGTATGACTTATACTCAGCTCTTGAACCGTATGGTCTCATTGCGATTGGTGGGCGCCTCAAAACCATAGGTATTGCGGGCTTGTCGATCGGGGGAGGTATCTCTTACTTCAGTGCTAAGTATGGGTTTGCCATGGACAATATCATTGCGTATGATGTTGTACTTGCTAGTGGCCAAGTCGTGACTGCAACGGCAACAAGCCACTCCGATTTATTTTGGGCGCTGAAAGGAGGCGGAAGCAACTTCGGGATTGTGACCAAGTTCACCTTCGCCACGTATGAGGCTCCTTTGGTCAGCACCATGATCGGTTATTTCGGGGAGCCCACTGTTCCTGAGTTCATCCAAGCAGTTTACGACCTTGCCATTTACCAGGACCAAGTCGACACTGGGGCAGGTGGGGTCTTTTATGTAGGCTATGCTGCAGCCACTGGGATGCAACCACTAACTCTGGCTGCTCAAATCGGCAATGAGACCAAACCTGCTGTGTTTGAGAACTTCACTGCCATCCCCAGCGAGTTTTCCTCCTATAATGTTATGACTCTGGCTCAATGGACCGGCTCTCTCGACACACCCTTTCAAGCCTCCAGGTAAGCTTTTAACCACAATAAGAACTTGATCTGGGTGCTGATCAAATGCAGGAATCTCTTTGGCGCGCACAGTATCGTCGCCGACAATGAAACCATGCAATCTATGTATGCAGCGTACAAGATCGCAACTGCTGAAATGGCCGATGTCCCAGGCTTCATCGCGGAGCTTCTTTTCCAACCAATCCCCAAGAGCGCCAACACCATTGCCGCAACTAACGGAATCGGTAACACCTGGGGAATGGACGACAGCAAAGCCTATATCTGTGCGTAATCCTCCAGCATCATCAATTCTCATTCCCCTCAAAACCAATCTATATGAATGACAGCTAACGCCGATTGGCAGACTGGGGCGTCTTCACAGCATGGTCCAACGCCGCAGACGACGAGAAAGTGAAAACCTGGTCCGAGAATTTCGTGGAGCAGCTCCACGCCGCCAACGTGGCTGCCGGCACGGCCATCGATTTCATGTACTTGAACGATTGTAGCGATGACCAGAAACCGTTTACTGGGCTGCCGCCGGCGAACCTGGCGAAGCTGAAGGCTATCCGTGCCAAGTATGACCCGACGCTTGTTTTTAAGAGGTTGAGCACTGGTGGATATAAGCTGGATTGAGTGGAGTGCTCACAGATATCAAATCTGGGATGGAAAGAGGGAGCGTATACATGTCTCAAACCTCATAGTAATGCCAGGCGTCGTGGAGGTTATACTTACGTAGTTTAATATTCGGTAATACGAATATAAGAAAGGAAACATACCTCTTAGATATTGTCGCTCACGCATCTTCTCTCTTTTGTTTCATCCCTCTGTCTAGCCTCCTTAATATATCTCATTACCCAGTCGGTAAAAGTTCCAAAATTTCCAGGTTTTCCAATACTAGAAGCATGCAGATAGCTCGCACCGACTAAGACCAGCAAAGTTGTTACAGTACGTGTATGAGGCGCAGCTAATAATGATAATTCTGGGACTCTTTGCGGCTCTCCTGAGATCAGCAGACCAAAATGGCTAATCCAAGGCTTAGACACGAGGATTGATATCCTGTCTTCCTTATTTCTCCATCAGATTGAGGATAGATCATATTGAACACAAAAATCTATCTTATTCCAACGGAATATATGTTGAGGGTATGGTATGCAGATGTCGAGGAGGATAGAGAAGATGAGGTTGATCTGGAATCTGGATAACTGCATATTAGAGATAACGAACTGTACCTAGTTAAAGTAAATGTATATCCGGACTGATCAATACTTGAGACTTACCATGGTTGGTTGCAAATGTAAGCATTCTGAATATCGCAATATCATCATTCACATCAGTCTCACGGAGCTGCATACGATGACACCTGGTAGAACTTCGAATATTAGGTCTGGAAAAGGGGTAAGAGGCTTTCCAACTATTATGCTGTGTCGGAGAGAAGCATGCCAATGCACAACTGCTTGCTTGTGTCCAGCGTAACATGATCTGGAGCTACAGACCTCGTTTTCAGGCTTCATATCCCCATGGCCTTCCAATGCTGGAAACTTCTGGCCAGACAGAGGTTTCTGACTCACCTTGCTCCCCCTCTCGCCACTTGGTATGAGCTCCTGCAACAATCGACAAAGGAATCAAGGGGTCCGACTCGAGTCTACATGCAGAGAACAAACACCACAATGGCATTATGAAAGCCTGAAAAGGTGTCTCTGAACAGACTCGGTGCTGGGTGAAAGGTTGGGGAGTACTATCCCTTTATCTCCATTGTCCTGACAACATTTTCGAGTAAAGGGGGTTGAGCTCAGGGGGTTGGTGAAGGCCCAGAAGGAGACGCGGGGTCTGAGAACAACCATTTCTCCAGAGTATTTATAGGAGAGGTCTTCTCCCCTATAATTCTCGGAACATGATCAACACAATACACATTCTACAACACAAATATCAAGTCAACACAACATCCAACAATCTCTCAAGCCCTACACAAGCACCACAAACAGTCCACAACATGGCGAACACACGATCCAAACCACCGGCTGCAGGCCAGCCCACTCACCAAGCCACAGGCTACCACACCAAAGAATACCTTGAGCTCGAAGCATTATTTGCCCATCTCGACACGGGACAGGATGATGATGACATCCCGGACTCAGAACCCATCTCGTCATCAAGCCACACCGAGGAACCACAGCCATCCCAACGACAACAAAAGACCGCCAAAAGAAAAGAGAGGCGGCACGCGGCAGAGACGTGCACCGCTTGGTTTCACCACTCCCGGAATCCAGACGCGCAGCTTAATAAGCAGAAACGACTTGTCCGCGCAGAGGAGCGTAGCATGGGCACGTCGCGCACTGAACGCTGGTCTTGAGGATGAGAGGTAAGAGTGCTGAGTTTGGGAATGTCTGACTGAACTGCTGGTCTCGGTTCGCTGCAGCTTGACCTTGTGTACCTACTATACGGTACGAGATTGACGGTAAGAAGATCTGGAAATGTCTTGGAGTAATCTGCTGATGGTATCTAGATGCTATCGATACCCCCCTTTCCTTTTACGGATTTCCTTGATTCCGCGTCAGAAAATATATAAAACCAAAAAAAAAGATGAAAACGAGAAAAACAAAAAAACAAGCAAACAACGGAAATCATATACCAGGGAAAGAATTTACTCTAGGAGGCATTTTGGAATTTTCAACAAGAGGGATGATTTGGAATACAATCATTTAAACCAGAAAAAAGAAGAGAAAAAGGAGAAAAAAAAGGGGGGGGGGGGCTCTGGGAAGGCGGAAGAAGGGCGGGCGGCATCATAAGGAACTCAGGTTTTTCACCCGGAGGGGTTTTCCTGAGGACTTTGGATTCATATATAGGTTTTTCAGTGGCCGCTGTGAAGCTGCTTTCCTGTATATAGCGCAGAAGTCCCGCATGGCCACTGGCCGGGACGGCGTATGAGCAAATAACAATCCCAATCACAAACATACCCGTCTTAAACGCCCGTAAAAATAAAATGAGGGCATTTCTCAAACTACAATCCCGAAACCCTGGACTTCCGTCCTATGATGAATGCCCGTATATATTATGTCTACTATTATGCAATGACCGTAGAGGAGCATACCTATCCAACTCCGTATCCTGTGCGTACTTACCTATATGCCATGCGTATAACCAGTCTCTATGCCGCTCTCTACGTACAATCTCCCATGGTCTTTTCGTATAACCAAATAAACAGCATGCAAGTTCGTATTCCTTGTTTCCAGTTTCCAACAACAACACAGCGCCACATCGAGATATTCTTCTACCGCACAACGTTCAACGCCTCCTGCAGCGGCTCCAGAACACTTCTTCGGCTTCGCCTCACGTTACACGATCCTATACAGCGCCCTAGCAATGAAAAAGCATGCAAATCCAAACACTAACAATCCGCCAGTAATGCAGCAGAACCACGTCAAATCGCCCTCATACTCCTGACCTGGGACCCAAACGTTCATTCCCCAGAGCCCGGTGATGATGTTCATAGGCAGTACTATGGTACCGAGGACGGTGAGTTTGCCCAGTACATCGGCCGTTTGCTCTTGCCGCTCATTCATGCGGATATTGATTTGTGCAAGGTAATTGGCGTGGGAGCGTGCTAGTATCCTGTCATGGAGTTAATTAAAGACAGCGCAAACAGATGGCAGGGCGGGTACTTACTTTTCATAGTGAGATAAGTTTCCAGTCATTGTCACAATGTGATCTTGGATATCTCCCAGGTAAAGCCCAATCTCGGAGCGTGGGGCGACTTCCCAGTGCTCATTGCAGCGCTTTGCGAAACCCTTGATTACATCGGCCTTGTTGCCCAATAGTCTATACAGACCCATCACTTTCTTCCTACAATCGCCGACCCGTCGAAGCATATCACCGCCACTTTCACCTGAAGTTCCATCTCCGGCTTCTGATCTCTTCTCGTCTTCATTGCGCATCTTCCCGTATTCGGGAGCTGCTGGGGAATGGAGTCTCAGAATCGCATCGTCAATATCATCAACCTCGTCCTCGATAGTATGGATCAAAGGGGCAAAGGCATCGGTAATATCATCAACAATGGCATATGATATCCAATCCGAGCTCAAGATCAGATAATCTTTCAACTGTCGAATTCTCCTTCGAACGTTGGCAGGATGCGGTGTCATTGCGAAATGAAAGCTGATGACCCCCTCTCGGAAAACAACAACATACACGTTGACAGGTTCCAAGAAATTTTCATTGTTTATGTCTTGTTCGAAAGACCGGTAGTTGACGAAGTAGTAATTCCGGAATAACTCGACTTTCTCGCGTGCCTCCTGCATCATGATATCCTCAGCGGTCAAGGGATGGATGCCAAATGTTTTGGAGAGGACCTTCATTTCATCATCCGTAGGAGAAAGGACATCCAGCCACCATGTTGGGCGTTCGCCATAGGATTTGGACTTTTCCTTTGATATATTGATGTTGGGTTCAGGGCTGGGCAGCTTCTCGGGGGGCAACTTCTCGGGCTCCGGAGACTTCACACCGCCATTTGGAATATCCATACTTGCTACGCCCCGGGAACTTTTCCTCTCGCCGCCTGCTACCGATGTTGAACGTTTGGACGATGTTGACTGTTTGGAATCATTGCTTAGTACTTGCCCAAGACGTCTCGAGTCCCGCCTTGGATCATCAACCAATGTGGTCTGGCGGGTTACGGTTGACTCGCCATTCGTTCCGCGGTTGTGGAGGATATGGGAATCATCTCGAGAAAGAGGATATCCTTCCTCTTCGTCGCTCGACTCAGAATCACTCAATAACGGAGGATCCGGTATAAAAAGCTCCCTAAAACTGCCCCCCGGTTGAACTAGTTCCGATATCGTCTGGCTATGGATCGTACTCGGAAATTCCTCGTTGAAATATGTAAATCTGTATGGGGAATCGTCCTCGGCGCGATGCCAGCCTTTGTGAATTGGTCTCAATCGTCCTCCAATCAACTTAGGCTCAGTGATTCTCTTGACCCGACGTTCCTCACTTCTCCCCTCTTTTTCAAATCTACTCCATTCATCCAATATAGATAGATCTGGCCACTTGCCCCTCCTTCGTCTTATTCCGTTCTCTCTTTTGTAAGCAATGCCTTCCCGTTGAGCTGCCTCGTCATCTGCCAGCTCCGACATCCCTTCAACTGGAAAGCAGACATCCTCTTCGGCCGATACAGCAATTGTATGCCTCCGCCCATCGTATCCAGGTTCCCTCTTAGGTGATCCTGGTCGCGAAGAATCAATTGCCTGTTCACTTATGTGGTCGCGTGCGCGCCGAGGCGACCCCAATGGAGATTCAAGGTGGTCTCGTGTCAACATATCTCCAAAATTAATATCGCGCTTCGATGAGCCGAGCACGGGGCTGCCAGGTACCGATGGTGGACAATTGACATTGTATTCTTCACTATGCTGTTGATAAATTGGAGTCTGCGCATCGAATATCGTTTTCTTTCTGCTATCGGATGACGACTTGCTGGATGCCCGTCTATTATTAGTTGAGCTGTGCCGGGACAATTTCGACGGCTCTCCACTGTATGTACGATGCCCCGTAAAAGTAGCCGCAGGACTTTTCGATCTGGACGAAGATGAGATCAGTGGTGCTCTCTCATCTATCACTTCGTCTTCCCCATCGCTTTCCTCCTTGCCAGTCCTTGGTCGGCGACCGACAGTATCGGCGGATTTGAAAGGAGTCTGATATTGAGGTCTGTAAGAAGAAGGGGATTTGTATTGATGCTGGTCAAAGACACCACCCATTGTTGAAGACCTTCGAGGCCTCATGCTTTGCTGCTCTCTACCAAAACCAATTAGCTATATTCCTGAATCAATTCCATCGCAACCAACCTGTGATCCAGAAGTGACTCGCTCTCGAGACTAGTGTTGCTCAAATTGCGTCCTTGAAGCCCGTAAAAGCTCGCCCTTGCAGCGCTCTGAGAATGCCCCCCCGGCCGGGTCTGTGGTGTTTCCGGCATGCCCGATCCATCCTCAGTGGACGCAGCGAAAGACGGCTTTCTTGCGCGTTTCTTCCTCCCGCCCCTGTGATTTCTCTTCTTCTTTGGGAAGGTTTGCGAAGAAGCCTCCGGTTCCAGAGATACAGCCGATGCACCGCCATCGGGCTGGGTTGTTTGCAGAGCTGTAGGCTCTGGTCGTCGAGGGGGTGTATCCGGCGGGGACTGTTTCGCCATTCGAGGTGGAGCTGACGCCGACATGTTGGCGGTCAGATTAGGATTTGCGCTTTATTTTATCTTTGTCGGCCTCTATCGCCGGTAACGTAATACCTCAGTACCAATTGATGAGTTGAGAGGACATATGAAGCTGTCTCCCGCGTCCTTATCTCTGCGGGGGCGAGGCCAGAGCTCCAAAGGCCGGGATCAGGTAAACTCGGTAGTACAACACCCATCACCTAGTGGATTCAATATAGATGTGACCGCAATCAATTCGGAAATCAAAAGATATTTGGAGAATATCGCTATTATGGATGGAAAGGAAGACGCGCTCGTGTTGGTGTTATGTGAAGGGAGTGGAACAATTCGCATGTCGTTGGCGCTGAGCTCATGATTGGCCAGTGCCAAGCGCCGCTCGCCGCTCACGTGCCAGATTGCCCATTTAGGTAAGTTTTTGGATTTTCACTCAGTACCTCGGGCGTTGGAACTGCGGCACGAATGGAGTAGACTGATCAATAATAGAAAGAATAGAAAGATAACAAGTAGTACAAAGCACTTGATTAGTAGCAAGTTGAGAGTTTGAGGCTCTGCTCTGTAGAACCGTATCAGTAGGCAGGATGAGTAAGCGATCACCTCCAAAAGAGGCAAATGGATACTCGACCACCAGCAACTGAAGTATATCAGTCCTCAACCTGGCCCAATGGCACCTCCAAGCCAACTCGCGATCGCGACCTCTTCCGTTCAGCGACTGGTGAAGGAAGAAGCATCCTATCACAAGGAACTCACACAGCAACAAGCGCGTCTTGAAAAGCTGTTGGCCAGCACAGGTGAAGAAGAGAATGCCGAGTACCAGTTGAAGCAGGAGGTAAGTCTGAGCTTTCATTGTCGCCCTTCCCCCTCCACATGCCATTACCTAGGCCAGTCTCCGGATTCCCGTATGGCATGGCCTTCGCAATGTCCCGTAACAGGCCTGCTAGCTACCCCACATCGACATCGGGGCTTCGTATCGCCATACCAGACCAGGCTCCTATCTTCTATCTCTTGCTCCCTGAGCAGAGTCGGCTAACATTCCCACCAAAGCGCGCTGCAATCGAGGAGACAAAAGCCGTGTTCCCACCCCTGCGACAGCGGATTACCGACGCGCTCCAGAAACTCGAAGACCAACTCGAACTTGGACAGGAGAGAGGGGCAAGCGAAGAGGAGATTGCGAAGGCCAAGGAGGTGATCCAGCAGGCGAAGGCTGCTGCCAACTAGACATGAACTACAGTGCATTGAAGTAATGCGAAGGTTCGGGCCCACGGTTGGAAGGGAAGGGCAAAATGTCTGATGCGGGGTGGAATTCTCATGCGGCGGGGAAATCATAATGGTGTTCATCAGGTATGGTGGGTAAAGGGAGGGTATCATTTTGCTATGGTACAAATGGCTCATGTGGCTCTTGCAAGTAAATGAACTACGTGGTGTCCATCTTATCTTCAGCCTCGCCCTGGACTGCTGCTGGGCCCTCTTCGACTGGTTCCTCGATTATCACCTGTGGTGTTCCACCCTCAGTTTGTGGCTCCGTAGCTTCGGCCATCGGTGTGTCAACCACAATATCAGACTCGGCAACTTTCCCAGCATCTCCCATTGTAGAATCCTCTCCCTCTTCATGCTCCTCCATCCGCCTCTCCGACACAGAGGGGGACGGCGCCCGGCTGTTTGCCCTACTTCCCGGCCTGGATAACGACCCAGAAGCCATTGGTCTGGGTTTCAAGCCAGTGTTATCACTGTTCTCAGTCGGTCCATCTGGCCTAGGGGTAGCGTTCCCACTCAGACTACTGTGCCTCGGCGTCTGACCACCCCTAGATCCCTCGCCAACCTCGCCATCCTCCTCGCCACCGTCCATGCCCTCCCTCCTTTCTACTTCTTCCTTCTCATCCCTGATCAATCTCCGTAGTTGCATGCCCTCCTCCACAATCCTACCGAACTGCTCCCGTCTCTCCTTCCATGTCTCGCTATATGCGCGACTTTCCCTCTCCAACTCCCGGCATTCCTCCTCCAGCTTCCTCAGATTAATCTCCTGATCTTCCCTCGGTCTCAGCAGTTTATTATTTGTGATCTTCTCAGCCAGCTTATCGAATTTCTTCCTCTGCTCCAACGTCGCCCTCGCTCCTTCAAGTTGAATCCTCAATTGCGCCGTGCTATCCCTGACCGCCTGGGCCGTCTCCTGAATCCGTTGCTTGTCCGCTCTGTACCGCTCTCTTTCCCGCTCATTACTATTCCTTAGAAATTGAATGCGCGCAATGCTTGAATCAAAAGCTGCGAAATCGAGTAGCACATCTTCGCGGAACTGACGGCGCTCATCAAGCTGTTTCTGTCGCTCACTCTCTTGCAGGGCGGCAGCTTCGTCTGCGTTGTCTGGAGGTGGTGTTGGGAGCTTGCTAGGTGTTGAGACAAGGGAACCGGGGGTGAGGAGTCTTTTCGTGATTCGCTTGAAGGGCTTCTCTTCGACGTTCAGGAGACGCGATTTATGAAGCTCATCTTCTTCGCGCTGATCTAGAAACTGGAATGAAGCCATTGGGGATGCGGGGCGTTTATGTGAGGGATTGATGCTGAGGCAGATAAAGTTCGACGTCGCGTTCAAGTTCGCGAAATTCCCAGCTTGAGGCGACAGATCACGTGCAAAGTCAAGCGAGACATGCCCCTGAACCCCTTTCCTGAAGCAAGACGTCCAAGTCAACATTATGTAGAAGCGCATACTCTGGGATTACAGTAGTATCTCTGCTGGACCCGGGTATATTCTAAAGTAGGGCTTCAAAACACTCTCCAACTATAAAGTGAGTTCGCTCTCTACGCAGCATAGTCGAGTCAGTTCAAGAAGTTTGATTATGAAAGCTCCTGAAAACGGGCAGTCACTAAGGTATATTGCCCATGTTTGCATAAGTATATTCAATAAGTGGTTAGATGCATTTTTATCTAAACGTCCGCTATATATTGCTTTTTGTTGAGTGCAATGAGTGCAGTGAGGTAAAGACTGGAGCCGCCGGCTAAGAATAGAGGCGGCCGCTAGCGCGTACCCTTACCCCATGGCTGGGGATCAATTCACTTGACTTTCCATTCCTTCGTTTCCATTGTTCAAAAGCCATGTCTTCCCCTCTATAATTGCAATCTTCTGTCTCTGTCTCTTCAGTGGATTGCTACACCTGCTACGCAGCCAGCTTGTGCGATCCACACAATTTATTCTTAACAGCGAGGAGAGAGAGCCCAACCGTCAATTCTTACCCTCACGCCTACGGCGATACAAAGCCTATTATCATTTTCAGATTGATTTCTTCATACTTGAGCTTGTCTCCTTTATAAGCAAAGGCCTGCCATGCCTGCACCGTCGCTCGTCGACTCTTGCACGAAGGCTTGCATCAAAAACATCCGCAGTACGTCACACTCTCCTACCTTGTGCTCTTTGGCCTCTCTCGCGCGCCTCCCTCGCGCGCCCCCCCCCCCNCCCCTCTCC